GGAATGTTCCATTAATGACAACCGGCAAAAGTAACAACATCATCACTTTAATATTTGATAAAACAAATATTCAAGTTCTTTTTTTCTAAAAAAATATGTTAATTCTGGAAGCCTGGTGCTTTATTGCCCTGTAATATCACAGAACTCTAGAATATTATAGGCATTATTTAAATTTATTTTCGTAATTTCAATATGGTCTTAAAATTATCATTTCATTCAATCTCTGTCTTCAGTAATATATTAAAAATATTCTAAGTTTTTCATATTGAATGACCATTCATATTTGTTCACAAATCATTCTATATTTACAGCAACAAAAAACAGAACTATTAACAAGGTGTTGACTATAGTCACAATATAACCAAACACTTTGTCCAGTTCTAAAGCTAATTTTTGCCAAGAATCTGTCTCACAACCAAAACACATCATCGCTTCACTTTCGTTTGATTGCAATGAACTTCTTGTTTCGTTGTCATTTTTGTCATTTGAAACGGAACGATTTAATATCCAAGTATACACCCTGTTCATTTTTGTTCCTTTTGGTTTATAGTAAATAAAAATTACAAAGACCTCTAGGAGTATCGTAATGCCACTCATCACAAGGTGCATAGTCATGAAAATTCCGAATTTAAAAGCGTATTTAGAAGATCTAGGAACTGTGGAACTTATTATAGTCATAAAGACGGCGAACGTTAGAAATATTTCCATTGTCATGCCTATTTTTTCACCGGACCCAATTGGAACAAGAAAACACGCCATATTTAAAACCGATAATAGAAGAATTGGCAGTACAGTACTATACAAATAAAATAAGGGCTTTCTGTCCATCACAATGAAGAACTCCAGCTCAGTAAAATTTTTGTCGTTTTCTATGAGATCTGTTTTAATGTTTGATCCAACAATATCCCATTCTCCACTAAGGACGTAATTACTAAAATCTATGTCATTGAACTTTGGTGTTAGCTTAACTTTCTCATCCTCGGAGTACCAGGTTCCAATACGAATGGAACACACTTGACTGTCAAAAGGATATCGGCTAATATCCACATCACATCTCGTCTGCACCTCTCTATTCCACCACAGCGTGACTTTGCCGGTATATTCCAGCAGTAATTTTCCTTTCTCTGATTTCATCAAACACTTGTTGTTAGTAACTTCATTTGCAATGCATACATCGGGTACCCAGAGTTTTTCTTGCGGAACAACAATTGAGTCAATATGCGCAAAATGGCTGCGGTTCCAAGCCATGTGCATGTCTGTCCATTCCAAATCGATCCACACAGTGGTCCGAAGCGTCTGGGACCTCTCTATTAAAGAATGTAGCGTCACTAAGTTGACGGAAACATTGACAGTGATGGGTTTGTGATAATCAAGTGTTGGTCGTACATTCGGATTGTACTCGTTTACATTTTCATTGAAAAGTTTTTCAATAAGTCTATATTCTGGATGATCATGACGTTTAAATGTCAATGCAGTGACATAAGTGCAGTGCAATAAACTAAACATTAAAATCCACATACTCAACATTTTGCTTAAAATTCATAAAGTGATCGTTGAAGCTCAGTTTCAGTTTCTTAAATATCCTTATGTTATATAACTCCTGTCTTCTTATCTTGGTATGGGCATACTGCGCTTTTTCTTTGAAATTCATCTTAAAATAAAATTGTTTAGGAGGAAGTGAGGTATGGAATCTCCTGTAAACATAGAACATGAGTCATGTTAATTCTAGTTTTGAAAATATTAATGGTTTATGTTTTTTATAAATGATATAATCGAACATGAAGAGCGTAGTCCCACTTGAGAATTTTCCCCCTCATAAAAATGATGAAAAATTAAAATCGCTGAGGGAATTCATAATGCAATTTTTAAGTGAAATCAAATCGAAGCTTGTGTCTGACTTTACTAAAAATACATCATATGAAAATAACATTCAGGAACGTTTAAGAATACACATCAATTAATGTATAAAGAAAAACACTCTATTGATAATTGAATCATAACAGCATAATCAAGAATTTGGAGGTGCCCACTTACCAAAATGAATAATCCTTAAACCATATTCAATCTCGAGTATGTGACACACGATTACGAGGTTTTCTCTACTCGTATGTGATGTATATATAATATTTTTTTGTAGAACCTAATCGGAAAAAGCAGAATACAGTCATCGAGTGAGGCGAGGCGGGTGAGTCTCAAAATGGATGTTTTTATCACTGTGTACTGTGTGATATTTGGAATTATCTGGACAGTGAGAGGAGATTCGCATGAGTCCCTTGTTCACAGTGCGGTATTTAAAGATAATAATATCTGTATTAGGTCTGTCCAAAATTCCTCCTCACCAGTTACAGTCGAAATCAGCTTAATGCTTCAAAGCGTGTACGGTGTGGAAGAAAAACACCAGACATTATACTCGTCTGTTGGAATCGAATTAACATGGGTTGACGAATTTGTATCGTGGAATTCTACAAACTTTTACAAAGTCGACACGATCCTTGTTCCATTGAAATTAATCTGGATACCTGACATCTGCATAGAAAATAAATTAATCGATAACAAATGCTTGAGTGCGGAGTCGGTAGTACAAGTGAGTTCAGAGGGCCAAATAAAATGGCGGTTGACTAAAGAACTGAGAACTGAATGTGAAATAGACATAACAAAGTATCCGTTTGACAGACAGGCCTGTGAGATACGAGTCGGTACTCTGTACTCTACCGACCAGCAAATCCGATTTCGGACCAAACAAGGTTCGACAACTTCATATCACTTCAAGGAAAGTGGTGAATGGAAACTAATGGGGAAAAACTTTGAAAGAGTCCAATATATATATGCTCAAAAGAATTTTACCTATGTCAAAGTTAGGTACGACCTAAAGCATCTGGCTTCATTCCACGTTAATAATATGATTATACCCCTTGTAATTCTGTCATGCCTTAATCTAGCTTGCTATTGTATTCCTATTGACTGTGGAGAAAAAGTGCCAACATCCATTGAAGTATTTCCTGCCTTTGCTTTCGTTTTGATTGCGATAAATGATGAAATTCCAACAATTTCAAGACACATCTTCACTTTTGGATTGTTGATGTCATAACACGTAATTTTCAGTGCATTGTCGGTAATAATTAATACTTTCTTGTCCAACTTATACCACCACAACTCGGATATGCCAGTGTCTACATTTTTCCATATATTGTACTCAACAATTCATGGGATCAGAACGCCTGGAAAACTGAACAAGAATATTGAAGTGAAAGAAACGAGTATTTGTGATGACCCTCAAAGACTCTTTAGCCGTACCAATAGATCAAGATAAAGTGGGAGACACAATAAGACATTCGAATTATTCTGTTTGTTCTCCAGCATATAATGTTGCTGGACTATATTTGCCATTGAACTTGAGAGGAAAGTATTTATTGTAATGATAATTCTGAATATATTAAGCTATGTTATTTTTCTAATCTTGTTTTTAGTTAGAAAATTGCAATGCATTGTATCGTCATAGGCGTAGGAAGCAAATTGAAACTGGGGTGGCTAATTGAAAGGGGGAGGCTATAAAAAGGTAAGCCCCAATTTTCAATGCCTATATTTTGTCTATCTTTGAAGAAAAGTGGGGTGGCTAAGCCCCCCTAGCCCCCCCCCCCCCCCCGTTCCAACACCTATGATCCTACTTTCAATGATTTCTTTTTTATTTGTTCCAAGCTTAAAGGATTTTTCAAAAGATTTTAATACTGAAATCAACTTCCAAAAAAAACTGGACAAGAAAAAGAGAAGAAAATTGTGGAACCATCACTTTAGGATACTTATTTTTGTGTAACGAAATACACGAAATATTATCATTCTAAGACATGGCCGTGGGAAAGAGGGGGCACGGGAGGCCGTGCCAACCCCCCCCCCCCCCCAATAATATTGCCGATATATAGAATACTATAGAAAACATAGCTAATATGTGCTTGTGGCAACTCAATAATAACGACTGATGACCTTTTTTTTGTTTTTGTTTGTTTGTCAAGGAATTTTGGTATTTGATAGTGCCCCCAAACTGAAAATGTATGGTTGTGCCCCCTCAAAGCGAAATTGCTTCCTACGGGCCTGTAAGAGTAGGACAAAAAAATCTCTATAGAAGTTGTACTAATGCATACTCAATATCATTTTCAAAAATTATACAAAATGCATGTAAATCAAATATTCTCGAAAGCCTGTACTATATCCTAATTTGTCTGCTACGCCCACAAATGCGATCTGATAAACTCAGTATAAGATATTAGGTACTTTCCTTTTGGGAAATTAAAACAGCTTGAGAAATTACAATTGATAAAAACAAGTAACCAAATCCTTAAAGCATTAAAAAATAAATAAAACTATAATCTTTAGAAGAATTTGAAGTAAAGCAAGACTGTATTTTATGAACAGGTAGTAAACAAAGATTTTGGATGGTTAAGGACATACGCTAGGTACCTTACCTATATACTGATATTTTTTCAAGATATTCTTAAGATTATATATAGTGCCATCAGATGTTTGTAGACAAAAAATCAGCATGTATTAGCAGGGGTTTTGGAAAGATATCAAATGATGAAAATTCGTGTATAATTAAACAAAAATTACAAAAACTACTGAACATATATTCTAGATGTTTTGTTTATCCAGAATTGCTCTAAAAGAAGTGTACAACAGCATATAATGTAAATTTATGTAATTTTTGTTTATACACAACTATGTTACTGAGCTTTTTACATAATCAGTAGACATGTGCCTGGGATATTTACAAACAAAACCACGTGATTAAATGAACCAATCAAATTGCAGAAAGGGACGCTATCTTAGTCTGTCTTTTGTAATTGAAGTACTCAGCATCGTGCCTTAATTGTTTGTTATTATTTCGCCTTTATTCCAACGTTACATTCTACTTTCGTTTTCTAAATATTAATCATGTGATACGGATATATTTTGAGACATTTCGGAATCTATTGTGATTTTTCCTAGACTGTGATATACTTGCAAAAATGCCACCAATCAGGAATCGGACTCGTGTTAATCGACAGTCCTACTATGATTCTCTTCCAGAAAATTGGTCTGTTAAAAAACTTAGAGACGAATTGAGATTGAAAGGCATCACACAGCCACAGAATACCAGACATAGTGTACTAGTGTCTTTATATAAGCAAACCGTGACTACAAATGAAGAGACAAGAACAGCGCTAGAATCGAGACGTCAAGAAACAGTTACACCCAACCAAGACGTTAGAACAGAACTACTAGGCGTGGTTAAGGATCTTACATCAACAGTACAGAGCCTACAAAGCAGCATGATTTCCTTGACGGAAAGAGTCAACACCATGTCTCGACCGCAAACGTCTATACCAGCGGCTGCTGGCAGCGCAGAACAATTACGCCAGTCGGGGGCCCAAACAACCACTTCACGAAATGACTCTACTCCCGTGATATCAGGAACTCCTCGAGAGACGAGGGAAACAGAAAATTACACTCTCACAACAGCATGGGCTGACCAAACATCGCCAAAACCCATGGGAGTCAGAACTACATATGGATATTCGGCGGAATCACTTCCTTATGTAGAAACAATTTCACCGAATCTTCGGAAACAGATAATAGAAGGTAAGGATGTCAACCTTGCTAGCATTCTAATTCCATACTACACCGGGCCCGAAGTAGACAAAGATAAAGTTGACAAGGAGAAAAAAGATCCTCGATTGATCAAAACTTTAACAATCACAGAGTTTATTCAAGCTTTTGGTATTTACAAAAACACGATGTATGAAGCCTTCCCTAGGTGTATGACAAGAATTAGACTTGTACGAGCGTGACATCATAGACATGGCTACCCGATACGGCGGCTCAGCCTTTTACGAATACCATAAACAGTTTAGTGCTAGGGCAGCTGCGTACCTCAAGTATCACAATATACCAATTGACTGGTCAGTTCGCAACAATACATTATTTTGCAATATCTTTGCCAACGAAAAACCAATAACTTGCACTCTCTGCAGCAGTGTCAGTCACACTGCTCCTTTCTGTCATCAGAACCTTGAGACAGGGAACAAACCATATCACTACACACAGACATATCGTCAGTACTCAAATACGAATGCTAATGATAGCTATGGCAGACCAAGGCACTACAAAGATGGCTTAGAAATATGCAATAATTTCAATGACATGGGATGCAATCGCAAAAGATGCAACAACTTGCATGTATGTAAATCTTGCAAACAGACTGGACATTCACAAACTCAGTGAAATTAAAAAAACGAAGTAAACCCCCGGGGGAAAGGGTCACCAAAGCGGGGGAATCAGTGAATAGTTTAACCATTACAACTCCAGTAAACATATAAATTTTGGAAAAACTCCTTCTCAACCACCCAGATGAACAAACTGTGGATTATTTATTGAATGGTTTAAGATATGGTTTCGACACAGGTTTTAAAACATTACCCACAGAAACCTATGAATGCAGAAATCTGTTGTCTTCTAGGAAACAACCTGACATAACATCCCAATTAATACAAACAGAGTTACAAAAGGGGTTCATTTCCGGTCCATACCCATCCATGCCCTTTGATGTATATAGAGTAAACCAGATAGGAGTTGCGGAGGGAAAATATTCTAAAAAGAAAAGACTAATTGTTGATTTATCTGCTCCACATAATGAAGATCATCATGCCAGTCTCAACTCCCTTATTGACAAAACCGAATTTTCCTTGTCATATGTTACTATTGATCATGCCATAGACTTGATTAAAAAGCTGGGTAGAAACAGTTGGATGTGTAAAATAGACATTTCAGATGCTTTTAAACTCGTACCAATACACCCTACCCTATGGCCATTTCATGGAATTAAATGGGATAATCAGTACTATTACTTTACAAGATTGGTATTTGGTTCAAGAAGTAGCCCAAAAATTTTTGACACTCTTTCAACAACTCTCTGTTGGATTGCGCAAAATTAATTTGGCATTAACAATATCCTACATCACCTTGATGACTTCCTAACAGTAGACCCTCCAGGCTTTCCAGCCGAAAATACAATGACAACTTTGACGACTATGTTTCAAATGCTTGGGATACCTCTAGCCGTCCACAAAAGTGTAGGCCCTTCACAGTGTTTAGAGTATTTAGGGATAGTTTTGGACAGTAATGCGATGGAAGCGAGACTTCCACATGACAAACTTCAACGAATACTTGAAACTGTACATTCATTCTTGAACAAAAAGACATGTACCAAACGACAATTGCTAAGTCTATTGGGTCACCTGAATTTTGCCTGTCGTGTGGTACGTCCAGGCCGTTCATTTGTGTCATATTTGATATCTTTATCGACAACAGTTTCTGAACTTCATCATCATGTGACAATTACTGCTGAATGTAGGTTAGACTTGGGAATGTGGTATAAATTTCTATCTTCATGGAATGGTGTAGCTTTCTTCCTGGAAGATAATATAACAATAGCAGCAGATATGCACCTGTATACAGATGCAACCGATTCTGCATTTGGGGGTTACTACTCAGGGAAATGGTTCCAAGATGTTTTTCCATCAGACATGTTAAACAGTGAAGAAAAACCTTCAATGGCCTTTTACGAACTCTACCCCATTGTTATGGCATGTGTTATGTGGGGTAGGGAATGGTCGAGGAAAAGAATTCTATTCCATTGTGACAATTTAGCTACAGTTGAAATTATAAATAAAGGGCGTTCAAAAATGAAATCAATCATGAGGTTATTGAGAAAACTTACTTTCACTGCAGCAAGTTTCCATTTTACTGTTCATGCTAGGCACATTCCGGGGAAACTAAATACTGTAGCTGATGCCATTTCTCGTTTCCAGATGGACAAATTTCGAAAACTAGCTCCAGAGGCGGACAAACAAGCCACAACTTGTCTTCCATACCACATGATGACTATGTAGAAGAGATAAAGACTCTATGGGATGCAGCAGTAAGCCAACAGACAGCGAGAGCATATTCCACGGGTATTCAACACCTTTTAACCTTTGTAACTTTGTGTGGCATAGCAGTACCAGTAGGTACTTTATCTGATTTAAGTGAAGATGTACTTATAAAATTTGTATCTTATTGTCATTACTCTTTAAGTCTAACATTCTCTAACATTAAGCTGTATTTGGCTGGCATAAGATTCCATTATCTTAAAGCTGGACACAGTAATCCTTTTAAGGAACATGACAGACTAGACTGCATTTTACGTGGCATTAAAAGACTTCAATCAAATGTTTCAAAACCTAAAAGATTTCCGGTTACATATCAAATATTATGTCAAATGGTTAATAGGTTGAATGGATCAATTTTTTCACCATTCATAGATTTTATGTTATCATGTTGTTCTCTCATGGCTTTTTTTGGATTTCTCCGTTGTGGAGAATTTACTGTAAAGAGTAGAAATGTAGACAATGATTTTCTTAGAATGAGAGATGTTATAGTACAGAGAGATAAGCTGTCTTATATCTTGTGTTTGAAATATTCAAAAACTGACCCTTTTCGTCAAGGCGTCTTCATTCATGTTTTCAACAATGAACATACTAAACCGGTAAATATTATGCATGAGTACTGCCAGTTACGTATTTCACAAGGTGCTGAACCAAATTCACCTTTGTTTGTTGATTCTGATGGTTCACCTTTGTCAAGAAATCAATTTATATCTTATATAAGACATGTAATGGCTGTTTTAGGTTATGATGATGCAAAATATTGCGGTCATTCATTTCGAATAGGTGCTGCCACTTCTGCGGCTGAAGCTGGTATAGAAAACCATCTTATACAGACTCTAGGGCGTTGGTCATCTAATTGTTACATGTATGTCAGGTACATAAGAACTGATGAAAAAGTGCTTAAAGAAGCACAAGAGAAAATGTGTAATGTGAAGAGATCTTAGTTGTACAAAGTTTTACAAGTTGATTGATATACCAGTATGTCTGTTACTCCATTTTAATCATTGTATTGTTTTGGCATTTCATTTTCTTTGGGGGCTCTCACTCATTTAAACAAGATTAAACTCGTTCATTTTGGACATTAAAATTCCTATGTATTTGGAATTTTTTCAAACCCCCAAATTCAAATAAAGCAAAGGCTTATTAAAGCTTTATTATTAAAAATTACAAATTGTGTACTCAACACACATAATGCCTGCTGTATTCTTACCAGGCTTTAATTTCACATTTAGTAACCTGCCGGGCTCCCCCAGGTACTTAAATTATCATCAACCTGCTGGGCTCCCCCCAGGTTGATAGAGTACACCCAAAAATTTTTGCTTTGATTGGTATCGATGATTGCCTGCCGGGCTCCCCCCAGGTAATTAGACTACGAACCTGCTGGGCTCCCCCAGGTTCTGGGATACCAAATGATAACCTGCTGGGCTCCCCCCAGGTTTTAAGACACATGATAACCTGCTGGGCTCACCCCGGGTTTTTCAATGGATTTTGAATTAGAGAGAGCAGCCCCCAAGATGCCAAAGTTTTTTGTATTACTTTTGTTTTTTATTAACAGTATTTGTTTTTTAATCTGTACTGTTAATTTGCTTTGTATATAGTGTTGATTACATATGCCTTTGTTCATCTGAATAAATGTAAAACTTTCCTTTTTGTCATGTTGTGTATAAATAAACAATAAAATGTAGCACACAGTTCCTTTAAGTATTGGAACTCTTCAACTCCAGGGAAAAGGACAATTAAGTTCGAACTGCGTTGCAAATGTTCTTTTATTAGTTTATTAATAATCAAAACAAGAATCTAAAACATAAACTGCTAACATCTGTCTGTAAAGGATGAAGTAAACGTCAGAATTACAGAGGAATTTGGCGTGGTCACTACGGGTTCAGTGGTAATTGTTTTAAATATAGTTTACTCTCACACACCCACAGTGCAAATTAGAATAAGTAAGTACCGTATAAACGTACAATAACAATACATTTATACACTGCTTGGACAGGTCCGTACAACGCGGGAGGGGGGGGGGGCTAAATGTCTATGGCTACTTATATATTAATTTTCACGGGTGTATACCGAAACTTGTTTGTAAGAGACACTGCTATACACTAGACAAAATTGCTAACCCACCACTTATTATTCTTATTTGTGAATTGATCATTTTCCTGATTGGTAATAGTATATAAAATATGCCATCTTTTCCAAAACAGTTGGATTGACAAATGTTTTGGTGTCATGTCAAGACCCTTAAAGGACCTTCTTGTCCGAAAACCGATTTCCCGACGTGAACTGCGCACCGATGATTTTGACAATTAAAGTAATGATGAGCATCTAGTGTAGTGATTGCAACATTCAAAATGTCTCCCACTTAAAAATCATATGATATACCCTAATTGACTACCATATCGCTTAGTAGTCATCCAGTGCCTTCGTGTCCCTACCAAATCCACCCAACTTCCGGTTGCCCCAATTTTGAGGAACAATCTTGAAGTTATTGTGTGGTGCTTACTTAATGCCGTCGATATCTGTTGTAAACATTTTTATGATCGTTAATTCATTTTCAACAATATTTCACCAGAGAAATGTATTATCTTTTAATTGTTTTTAATTTTTCACAAATTTCTTCAAAGGAACCCCCTGCAGACACCATACTGGCTGTCTTAGCACGCTCTTCTGGAGTCAAACGTCGCATACGGTGTAACTTTTTTCTGAGTTTTTAATTAGTAAAAACATCAAGAACACAGCCACAAAGAAAAAACTAGAAATTTATTCCACCAAAAAAGTATGGATATGATTTTACTTTTTTTCTATGAAGTGGTTACGCTTCAGTAAACATTGTTGTAATTTATCAGTTAAAACATTTAAATGTCTCATTTTTTATTAAAGTAACATAATTATTTATCAAAAACATCATAAACAAGTTTTGAAAAGAAAAATGTTAATTTACTTAGGCAGTGCATTAGCAATTTTATCCAGTGTATAGAAATTGTGGTTATAATAAAGTAAAAACAAATAGTATGTAAGGGAATAAAACATCAAGTTTCTAAATACTATGTTATATGTTTTACAATATATAATGGTTTTAATACATAAAGGCTGAATTCAAAGTGATTTGTTTGACTGATCACGGGAACTTTTTTAAAGATAAGAAATGGGATAGGAAATTTTTTCGTGAAGGAATCAAATATGCTAAAAACTCTCCTTAGACGGTGGCTATTTATAGCCACAGGCTATTGCTGCCACTCTGGGCTATGAATAAACAACAGTGTAAAATCATGGGGGCCCTAGCGGCGATTTTTGCAAAGACAAAATAATGAAAGTGGGGCTGCTCTGATGTTCAAAAATAAAATGTATATGATTAACAAATACTCTCAAGTTATTTCAATGACATTTTGTTGATGGGCGCAAAGTATAATCCCTGATATTTGCCGTTATAATATTTCTCGCCTCATAAATATTCATTAAATTACGCAGACCTACAACTAATTCGTACACAAACCGATTCGTATATAAGGAGTTAAACCGTATGCAGTCCTCAGAAGTTAATTCGTACATAAAGTTTACTGTTTTTACTGTTTTGTGAACATGAAACAAATGCGAAAAGTCAATTCGAACACACGGACTTTTTTTACGTTGTGTAAATGTAAAATTTCAATAGAATTTACTAAAAGTAAAATAATCTGGAAAAAAATATTCTTGGATAATGGTTTCACATTTTAACACCTTACCAATAATTATTGTTAAACCAACACACCCTCGGTGGTTTCTTGGATATGCGACAAACTCTAATTACGAGATTTTTCAATTTGGTATTCCTTTGGATTTTCTTGCGAATTCAGTAGGCTTAATTTATGTCAGTTTTCCTGCATGTGTTTCCAGAACTTGGTTTTGCACGATGACTAGCAGGGTCAGTGCATATTAAGATTACGTAAGATAAATAGAGGCTGAAAAATATTTTGTTATTCTGTTCTCCTGTTTTTTTTTTCTTTTCGAACAGTATATATCAAACAAAAAAGTAAGACTACTGTACAATTCTCGATGTCTTTCAAACTTTTAGAAATAAACATCCATTTTTAGTCATCATTATTGTACTATTTTTTATGTTTTTGACTGTCAAGTCATTGAACACAACTCTGTATATAACTGTTATTGTATGATTTGAGTAATATTGACTTTAGCTACATTGTTCTTTCTGTCATTTATTTCCTCAATAAATGACCATTCTAATTCCTACTGAATGTGTTGTGTTAATGCTTGGGTTATAATGTCACATAACATGCCAAACAGAGCATCACTCTATCAGTTATCCATTAAAGTAAATTACAGAAAATTTGTCAAAGATGGGAATTCTAAGATAAAGTCTATTTCATTATCTTTCAGCAAATTATTTATGTCGCACAAACTACAGTATACATGGCCAAAAGTGATTCATCATTTCCCTTTTTACTATATACCGTAAATCTGGAATTTTTTACGTCGATTTATTTTTGCGAATCTGGGTCAAAAAGGTGTTGATTAATTTTTACGTTTTAAAATTTTGCGAATTATCATTGGCGCTAAAAATAAAAAGCACTTAAACGTTTCATAACAGTTTATAAGTTATGTATGTGCATACAATGAATTACGCATATACATGCAATCTCCTTTCTTTCGTCAGGGTTTCATTATACATGAGAGTAAGTTCTTTATTAACAATCTGTCGTGCTAAGGATTCATTGTTAGATAAAACAACTGACCTTTCTTTCTTGGAGAAAGAAATTAAAAGAGACCTACTGCCTGTCAAACTATTGGACGATATTGAATGTAGTTAAGGCACAGATTATCAGGGGTAATTAGCTAGTAGTATAAACAGATTTCTTAAAATGACCACTGCTTACGAACACCTGTTCACAGGGTTAAAAAAAGACACCAACTGTCAGCAAAATTTTTGTTTACATTTTTTGTTGATTTATTTTCAAGAAAAATATTTTTGCGAATGCAGTGCACGCGCAAATTTGCTAAAAATTAATCTACAGTAAAAATTTCCAGATTTACGGTAATTTATGAAAAGTTCCGTTTTTGTTAAAAAAAAATATTGTAGGTTCAATTTTACACCAAATTTCAAAAACTTTTTCCAATGAGTTACAAAAAATTGTTTACATTTTCTTTTTTCTCTCTTTTTTTATTTTTTATTTTACATTTGATTTATTTTCTTTTTATGGTTAGCAAAATTTGATAATTGATCACTGAGTGTAAGATTTTAAATTATATAGTCATAATTTCTAACATCAAAACACTATGATTTCATGACACTTTTGGTTGTAAAATTTAACTTTCTCATTCGATATTTGATATCACTGAAATGCAAGCTGATAAAATTATTTTCAAATTATGCGAAGAAGGTACAATGAATTCGGTATTTACTTAGACGAAATTCTTCAAAATGAGCTTCATATAACGTGCAATAAGTCCTTACAAAAACACTTTTCAATAAAAAATCAAATGATTCACTTACGGAAATATATAGTGTAGATTTTCTATTCCCACTTGAAACACATGAAAAAATTTTAACTTATGATGTTCCATTAATATAACTAAATACACTATGATTATGCACATGGGTTGATTAATTGTTCCTTCAATATCTCAACCTCATTTCAATTGAAAAAAAATACACATCTAACTTGGAAGAGTGTCTAAATGGAACCATGCATGCATGTATAGAAAGTTATCTTAAAATAAATATGTTTGGTCACCACAGGAATATATTAGGACCTTTGATCCCCTTTATTTAACATTAAGGGTAAACTGACACGTTTTAAGGATTAATTACTGGGAAAAAAATTAAACATGAGGATCCAATAATCCATTATTTGAATATATGATTTTCAATCTGTCCATCATCCTCAAATATGTTTTTGTTTTAAATTTGCAATTATGACTGTACATCACATAGTATACATATAGCATAATACTAATATTATCGCATCAGTCCACGAACTTTTTGATAACCCCTCATATATATTCATGTACTAGTATAATTATATACAAGGATTCTCCTGTAAAGTCGTGGACAAGTCGTCTTGATTGAAAAATAATTAACACTTCTTTCTAAAATTTTCCATACTCTTTAGTACATTTTTCATCAATATACATAGCAAATTAAAAAAAAAATTGTATGCTCAAATAAACAAAATATGGGATTTTATGTTATCTATGGTATCGGTTTACGGCGCACGGATGACAACGTCAAAATATCTGAAGTAACGTCACGTTTCATCTTTGCTTAAAAAAGGCGGATAAGGCCCAATTTAATTCAGGGAATTTTACTGAGGTACACACTCAAATTCCCCTTTATTCCTCCATAAACAGTCGAGGGACAATCTCGCAACCGCATTGGACCTTATGAAAACTTGTTTTAGTAAGATATGGAAGGCACTGTGGCAACGCACTTTGAAAAAAAACATTTCAAAGAGCGTTAAAATTGGGACAAAATCAACGCACTTTGAAAACTTTGTGCGTTGAATTTTTTTTTTCACTATGAAGACACTTGACGCACTTTGAAAAAATGTGTATAAAACAAAAATTCTGGACAAAGATTTTAGTATGATAACAGCTTTGTTATATTTCTTTCGAAAAACTGAGAAATTGATCTACCCTCATCGAGAACAAGGAGAAGACAGGTAGAAGGTCCCTTAGCCCTGCTTTATCTTTCCCACCCAAATATATGTATTTACATAATTGGTATGACATTGACATACTTTCTCTCAGTAAATTTGAGTTAACGTAAAATAGAATAAAAGTTGAGATAAGCTTTCCTGAAAAAAATAAAATAACGGACCCTATTATATTAAAAAAGAAAGGCTTATTAGGAGCCGTATCGCTCATCTAAGCAACAATAACCAACTGACTATAATTTGGCCAAAGTAGCTTTACAAAACCAAATGCAATACAAATTCAAAAAAAACCCCTTCTTTTAAATGCATAAATAATATTTTCATACCTCTTAATACTAATCAAATTACTAATCATATTGTACGCGAATAACCAATTATTTCATACCTCTAGATACTTATTTTAAATAAATTTTAATTATAAAGAGACCATCATATTGTGCGGGAAAATTATTTTCAATTAGCAAACAAACTTAAGCAATCATTCCTCCATTATTTCTAAAAGACGAATTTCCCTTTAAAACATTTACGAAAACCTTTGGAAACAAGACAACCCCCCAAAATCTTTTAAGGGTCTATATCTCAGATCCTGAAGTGACGTCATCACCGAAAAGTTATCCAACCAGGTTCAAATAATTATTTATCCTATACTACCGCATATTTGAGTTCGTATTCACAATATTCATCGTTATCAAAGCTCTACCCTGTTATTAATGTCATCATTCGCAGGCTCTTATTTTTTTGAGAAACTGATAAAATTTAGTCGGAATTTAGTTATCCACCCATACAGTGTTGTTACTTAGTCACTATGTGTCCTGGTTTCCTCCCCTTTTCTAAGCATCAATGAAAGCAGAAAGTGAAAGGTGGGAGATGAAAGTATCTGATTTAATTTTTGTATTTTGAAATAGTCTAGCACAATTTGCCACGCCTCTATTGTACTGGCACATGTTACAAGGGATAACAAAGGCAATAACCAATATCACCAACAGATTTTGAATAAAGAAAATGTTATAGTTGAATAATCGTAAAAAGTGAGCCAGCCTGAAAATGATGATTATTAAACTTCAGCTTTATTCGATATTCTTTCTTCAAGGTCAAAAACGTATCTGAATATTTAGATACTTATGTCCCTTGGCCACAATCTTTAGGGGAATATCCATATTATAATTCTCACAGTAGCTTTTGTAACATAGGTTTGTTGTCTGACGTCATGGCGTCAGACAGTACTAGATTTAGACAAGGCCTGTTGGTCAAGCCGTTCAATAGAATTTTATTGATAACTTGATCTTGGAAACTTCATACTATCATAAGTAGCATGAGGAATAAAGGAAACATGATTAACACCTAAACACGCCAAAGCATCGGAGCTGATGTCATTATTATCACGTTATTCATTACAGGTTACATAACATTTGGCGATTCTCGAATTATTGTCCAGCAAAACAGAGGGAATGAAGCTGGTCAGGTCAAACACTTGTTGATTATCTTTATCCGATTAACTAATGGAAGTTTATTTTCAATGCATACTAAGTCTCTACCTTTAAAATTTTTATAGATCTACACATATTCATAACTTGCATACGTTTAATTTATTCATAGTTTTAAAAAAAATATCAAAGTGAAGGATAGATGTTGAATATTCTTTTGCTTAAATGCAAAGATGCTAGCTCATTTGTAACGTTATTTTTTTAATAAAACCAATTGATGTTAACATTTTTTATGTGTTGTAACTTTTTCTTTCAAAAGCACTGGTTATATCTTTGTATCCATGAACAGGCCCGTTGGAAGAAATCTCAGATTTTTTTTCAGTTTAGGGTGGACACTATCAAGGAAAAATTCCTAATAGAGCATTAAAAAGTTATCAGAAGCAGAGACATATAAAAACCAAATCAGAGACATATATGTCTCTGTCAGAAGTTAATATTTACATGATTTAGGGGACACAAGCATAAAATAGCTATGTATAAATCGGCAAAACTATTGGGAAGCACCCCCAACCCCCATCCCCGGTTCCTTCGTCCATGAAAAAAAAAGAAGAAGAAATTACAAGTAATATAGTGTATATAGAATAAAGTCATGTCCAAGATTTATTTTATGTTCATGTTCCTGAATTGAACATTTCTTGTTTCTTAGCTAAAGAATTCATTTCATGACTCAGAGTCATGTTGATTACACTGGATTTAACTCTTCTTGATTCTTCACATAAAAATAAATTTGTAATTTCAGACAAGCTTTTTAGAAAAGCTAATACTTGTTTTATATATTTATTTTTAAGTGTATATATAGACAATAGTTTATTTCCAGTCAAGCGCCCCCCCCCCCCAAGCGGGGCATGAAAAAGAAACAATTCTATACAAAGGCAGTAATTAATTGTGAGATAAAATTGTGTAAAGTAAAATACATACAGATTAGTTGTTGTACTTTACAATGTTGTATTACAATAATGCATTATAATATGCATATGAATAAAATATGAAGTAGATGTGTATTCTAATTGTATAACATAGTTACTGTTGTGCACATGCAATGGCAAAACTCTAGGAAGGTAAAAATGAATGCATGAATGATGACTTAATATATCTGAGACATAAATATCAGTTGGATGGAACCATTACAATGAGCAATTCGGATTATTTAAAATGGGGGCATGAACACCCTAAGTCGAATTGTACATTGTCCGCCAAATCTACATTATAGTCAAGTTTGAATCAGCAGCATCCTCACCTATCAGTATATCGCTTCTCTTAACGGGCTTGGCAAGGAGGACAATTTCGGCCTCCACCAGACCAATAATAGAAGGGCATCGCATTTAAAAAACAATTGTTCACCAGTTATGGTAGAAAGGATTCCCCATAATAATTAACTAAATTTCTATCAAAGATAGCTCATATTTTGCTTTTTGGAATATCAAATGGGTTCAGATTAATTAAGATGGGGTCAAAGATCCGTTTCAGATATATATTCTGTGTCGGCTCATTGGTTCAGTTAAGATTCATTTATCATATTTCGATCCCATTCCTGAATACTACCATTATTGGACATATGAATTGGACATTGTAGACCTATGATTATGGTGCTATTTTTCATTTTAAAATAAGTAGGTCAATTTTTGGACCTATTTTTCATGAAAAGGATTTTCTTTCATAGCAAAAATAACAAGCAAATAAAAACTCTGAATAATGAAATACATGTATAATTAAAATAAGGGAAGCATTGAACATTTAGCTAAATAGTCAGTCCGAATTTCCTCTGTCGATATTCTAAAGTCTATCCATTTTTAATTCAATACACAAAAACGCTTAAACGTGATTGGTAACGCTTAAAGTTTTATAGCCTGAGTTTATTTCTATTGTCTTTATTTTGCTTGTATTAAAATTCTATAAGGTCAAGTAATGAAAGAGAGGAGAAATGAGTGATATGATGATATTAATGAAATATTCGAAATTATGGAATTGAGTAAACACATCAAACCCTCCCCTGAAATGCATAGCTGATACCAAAATGTGTTACAACCTTACGTATTAGTTTCCTGAGGTAGTCCGTTTTTTTTATTCTATGTATGTACGTGTATGCGAAATAATTTCATCACTAATATGTTAAATCTGTATGAAATAAATGGGAAAAAGACATTGGACTTTCACAAGAATTCCCCAGAAAAATAACAAAATCACCCTTAGCTTTACTTCAGTCAAAAATATTATTTTTCTGATAAATATTAAAGCATATTGACTACCTGAAATGTCCATAATTGTATTATCCTCCTCAAAATATTTGACAATCGTAGTAATAAAATGAAATGAAAGAGCAGGAATGGCATTGTTTCCAAAAATTGTAGATTCCTTTCCTACACGGTCTGAGGTTTTATATTTTGTAATTTTCAAATCCACAACATTGTATTAGAGGCATGTTCCATTAATGACAACAGCACAAAGTAATAACATCATCAGTTTAATGTTTGATAAAACAAATATTCAAGTTTTATTTCCTCTAAATAAATTATATTAATTCTGGAAGCCTGATGTTTTATCCCTTAATTGCCCTGTTACATCACAGAACTCTAGAATCTTATAGGCATTATTTAAATATATTTTCGTAATTTCGATATGGTTTTAAAATCACAATTTCATTCAATTTCTGTCTGCACTAATATCTTAAAAATATTCTAACATAAGATTTTCATATTGAATGGTCATTCGTTCACAAATCATTCTATATTTACAGTAACAAAAAACAGAACTATCAACAAGGCGTTGATTATAGTCACAATATAACCAAACACTTTGTCCAGTTCTAAAGCTAATTTTTGCCAAGAATCTGTCTCACAACCGAAACACATCATCGTTTCACTGTCGTTTGATTGCAATGAACTTCTTGTTTCGTTGTCATTTTTGTCATTTGAAATGGAACGATTTAATATCCAAGTATACACCCTGTTCATTTTTGTTCCTTTTGGTTTATAGTAAATAAAACTTACAAATACCTCTAGGAGTATCGTAATGCCACTCATCACAAGGTGCATAGTCATGAAAATTCCGAATTTAAACACGTGTTCAGAAGATCTAGGAACTGTGGAACTTATTAAAGTCATGAATACGGCGAACGTTAGAAATATTGCCATTGTCATGCCTATTTTTTCACCGGACCCAATTGGAACAAGAAAGCAAACCATATTTAAAACCGATAATAGAAGAATTGGCAGTACAGTACTATACAAATAAAATAAGGGCTTTCTGTCCATCACAATGAAGAACTCCAGCTCAGTAAAATTTTTGTCGTTTACTATGAGATCTGTTTTAATATTTGAGTCAACAATATCCCATTCTTCACTAAGGACGTAATTACTAAAATCTATGTTATTGAACTTTGGTGTTAGCTTAACTTTCTCATCCTCGGAGTACCAGGTTCCAATACGAATGGAACACATTTGACTGTCAAAAGGATATCGGCTAATATCCACATCACATCTCGTCTGCACCTCTCTATTCCACCACAGCGTGACTTTGCCGGTATATTCCAGCAGTGATTTTCCTTTCTCTGATTTTATCAAACACTTGTTGTTAGTAACTTCATTTGCAATGCATACATCGGGTACCCAGAGTTTTTCTTCCGGAACAACAATTGAGTCAATATGCGCAAAGTGGCTGTGGTTCCAAGCCATGTGCATGTCTGTCCATTCCAAGTCGATCCACACAGTGGTCCGAAGTGTCTGGGACCTCTCTATTAAAGAGTGCAGCGTCACTAAGTTGACGGAAACATTGACAGTGATGGGTTTGTGATAATCAATTGTTGGTCGTACATTCGGATGGTACTCGCTTACATTTTCATTGAAAAGTTTTTCAAAAAGCCTATATTCTGGATGATCATCACGTTTAAATGTCAATGCAGTGACATAAGTGCAGTGCAATAAACTAAACATCAAAATCCACATACTCAACATTTTGCTTAAAATTCATAAAGTGATCGTTGAAGCTCAGTTTCAGTTTCTTAAATATCCTTATGTTATATAACTCCTGTCTTCTTATCTTGGATATGGGCATATTGCGCTCATTCTTAGAAATTCATCTTAAAATAAAATTGTTTAGGAGGAAATGAGGTATGGAGTCTCCTGTAAATATAGAATATGAATCATGTTAATTCTAGTTTTGAAAAGATTGATGATTAATGTTTATCAATGATATAATCGAACAGCAAGAGCGTAGTCCCACTTGAGAATTTTCTCCCTCATAAAAATGATGAAAAATTAAAATCGCTGAGGGAATTCATAATGCAATTTTTAAGTGAAATCTAATCGAAGCCTGTGTCTGACTTTACTAGAAAATACATCATATGAAAATAACATTCAGGAACGTTTAAGAATACACATCAATACATGTATAAAGAAAAACACTCTATTGATAATTGAATAATAACAGCATAATCAACAATTTGGAGTTGCTCACTTACCAAAATGGATAATCCTTAAACCATATTCAATTTTGAGTATGTGACACACGATTCTTATCACGAGGTTTTCTCTACTCGTATGTGATGTATATATAATATTTATTTGTGGAGCCAAATCGGGAAAACAGTCATCGAGTGAGGCGGGTGAATCTCAGAATGAATGTTTTTATCACTGTGTACTGTGTGATATTTGGAATTATCTGGACAGTGAGAGGAGATTCGCATGAGTCCCTTGTTCACAGTGCGGTATTTAAAGATTATAATACCTGTATTAGGCCTGTCCAAAATTCCTCCTCACCAATTACGGTCGAAATCAGCTTAGTACTTCAAAGCGTGTACGGTGTGGAAGAAAAACACCAAACATTATATTCTTCTGTTGGAATCGAATTAACATGGGTTGATGAATTTTTATCGTGGAATTCTACAAACCTTTACAATGTCGACACGATCCTTGTTCCATTAAAATTAATTTGGAGACCTGACATCTGCATAGAAAATGACTTATCCGATAACAAATGCTTGAGTGCGGAGTCGGTAGTACAAGTGAGTTCAGAGGGCCAAATAAAATGGCGGTTGACTAAAGAACTGAGAACTGAATGTGAGATAGACATAACAGAGTATCCGTTTGACAGACAGTCATGTGAGATACGAGTCGGTACTCTGTACTCTACCGACCAGAAAATCCGATTTAGGATCAAGCAAGGTTCGACAATCTCATATCACTTCAAGGAAAGTGGTGAATGGAAACTAATGGGGAAAAACTTTGAAAGAGTCCAATATACATTTGCTCAAAAGAATTTTACCTATGTCAAAGTTAAGTACGACTTAGAGCGCCTGACTTCGTTCCACGTTAATACTATGATTATACCCCTTATAATTCTGTCATGCCTTAATCTAGCTTGTTATTGTATTCCTTTTGACTGTGGAGAAAAAGTGTCAGCATCCATTGAAGTATTTCTGGCCTTTGCTTTCGTCTTGATTGCGATAAATGATGAAATTCCAACAACTTCAAGACACATCTTCACTTTTGGACTGTTGATGTCATTACAATTAATTTTCAGTGCATTGTCGGTAATAATTAATACTTTCTTGTCCTACTTATACCATCACAACTCGGATATGCCAGTGTCTACATTTTTCCAAAAATTATACTTAACAATTCATGGGACCCGAACACCGAGAAAGGGAAACAAGCCTACTGAAGTAAAAGAAACGAGTACTAGTATATGCGATGGCCCTCAAAGACTCTCCAGGCGTTCCAATAAATCTAGGGAAAGTGGAAGATACAATAAGAGAGATTCCACGCGAACCACGGCTTCATCCATCCGTTCTAGGCACTCGAAGTACTCTGTTTGTTCCCAAGCATATAATATTGACTGGACTCTATTTGCCATTGAACTTGAGAGGAAAGCATTTATTGTAATGTTAATTCTGAATATCTTAAGCTATCTTATTTTTCTATGCATTGTTTTTAGCTAGAAATGCAATGCATTAATTGTATCTTGCTCTTAATTATGTCTTTTTGATTTCTTTAAAGCTTAAATGATTTTCAAAAAGATTTTCAAACTGAAATCTACTTCCAAGAACTTGGGGAAGAACGTGAACAAAACATTGCAAAACATTGTGAAACCATCACTAGAGCACTTATTTTTGCGGGTCCTAATACATGCTCGATTATCATTCAAAGGCTAGGACAGGAATATATAATGTATATGTCATGAATTTTTTTTTTTAAAAAAAACCTCTTTAGAAATTGTACTTGTTTATACTCATTATCATTTTGAAAATTAAGAAGTACATGTAATTTTTTAAAAGGAAATCTGATTAAATATTCTCGTAAGTCTGTATTTAATCCCAATTTGTCTGCTACGCCCAAAGAATTTTACTTTGATTTCTAGACCTGTTTCTGTTATTTGTTGAATACGATAATTGATGTACTCCAATCTCAAAAATTGTTTCTTGGCTCATAAATCTGTTGGTGTAGAGATAGTCAGTATGACTCATTCTACTGTGTAACGCATGATGCTCAGGAAAATGTTCATATTCCCTCTAAGTCAATCTCTCTCTCTCTCTCTCTTATAGAATTTAGAATTTCAAGATATTTCATAAGTTTAAAAATTGATCACTTGTAAATAGGAATTCGCAATCTGAGCAATTTAAAAAGGACACAAGTAAAACTTGCCTCACTTTATCAAATGGTATAGAATCAGCAAGTGTTTGTCGCTTCTTATCTCACTCCAGCAAAGTTAAACGAAGTTGGATTTCCTAAATCAAAGCAATACCGTGCTATTCGATAAAAGTATCATACTATAGATCATTTTATTCAGTAGACTCTACACTCTTTGAATCATCAACCTAGATTTCTGAAAGGGATATCCCTTAACCTTCAAACATTCGCTTTGCGATCAGATAAACTCAGTGGAAAAATCATGTACTCTCCTTTTTGGAAAGTAATATAGCTTGAGAAATTACATTGGATAAAAACAAGTAGCCAAACCCTTAAAGGATAAAAAATTGATACAACTATGATCTTAAACTCTTGAAATAAAGCAAGGCTGAATCTCGTAAAAAGGTAATTAAACAAAGAATAGGATTTTGGATAGTTAAGTATTATTTTACTAATCAAAACATGAATCTACAAAACATTAAGTGTTAAGATCTGTGAGCATAGGATGTAGTAAGCTGTATTTCAGCAGTCAAAGTTACAGAAGAAATTGGGCGTGGCCACTATTGGTTCAGTGGTAATTGTTTTATATACTATAAATCACTTTTAATCGCGAGAACATTAATTTCGCGTAATAATGCGAGTTTGTCTGCTCGCGAAAATTTAATTCTCGCGTTTATTTGTTTTGTTAAGGATTATATACAACAGATACCATAGCTCGCGAAAATCTAGTCTTGCTTATGAATACCGAATTTCTATCTCGCAAAAATAAGATGTCGCAAAAATATAGTGATCTACAGTATACTTCACCCTCACACAATAAGTAAGTACTGTATAAGAATACAGATCACAATAGAAATACAATTAAACACTGCATGGAGATAGAAAAGAAAGACTAGAATGAGATAAAAAATATTTTCCTAGAACAAAAGACAAATGTAGAGGCATTTGTTAATCATATCAATAAATAATATGCCAACTTTGAGGACAATAGTACAAATATTTCTGTTAAATTTTTTTTTGAAACATCATAGATTTTCTCAAAGAGAGCTAAATGTCCATGGCTACTTACATGTTAATAAAAGTACAAAAGAAAGAGAGTAACTTTCACTGATGTATATGTGAAACTTGTTTATAAGAGACAGTGCCATATAGAAATCGCGGTTAGAAGAAAGTAAAAACTAAAAGTACGTATGTAAGGGATTAAAGGAACATCGCCTTTCTAAATACTTTCTAAAAAGTTTTACTATATTTCATCGCTTTAATACATAAAGGCTGTATTCAACGGAATTTGTTTGATAGATCACGGGAACTTTTTAAGATAAGAAATGGGATAGGATCTTTACCGTGCTGGAATTTTTCTAGTCATATCTTTCCAGATATATGCATCGCGACGTAACATATCAATGGGGAGGGTAATTAATGTTAGGGAAGTCCTTTATAAAAATATTGCACATCTAATCGTCTGTCTGTTTATACAAGATTTACTTCATGGGAATATTTTTTAGTGTAGCTAACAAAAATGAAGGTCAAGTTTTGCTATAATCCTGCATTTATCGATCGTGGAGTGTCCCAAGAGTCCGTTTCTAAAACACTCAGTTCTTGTAATTAGAAATATTCCTGCAACCAAGTCTTTTGTAACATAAAATGTTTATGACGGAATTTTCATATTGAATGACTTTGTGAAAAGATCCGTTGTCCATAAGTTTAGATTGAAAAAAAAAAACCCACAAGAGATGTATTTTATGGTCATTGATTTTTTTTAATGTTCTGTGACTGAACCTTAATTGCAAAGACAATTAATAATCCAAGAACATAAAAACGAAATATAGAATATTACAATGTTTCATTGAAACAATAAAGTGTTGACTTTGATGTAAAAGTTGCAACATCTAAAAAAAAAAAACGCGGGTTATGTGTTCTTTTTTGCTATTCTGCAACTGTTATGCCCCGTACAACGCACCAAAGAGAGACATTCATTGTTAATCAGTCATTCTACGATAAAAGGACCAATTCAGGATATATAACATGAAAAAAATTCTCTCAAAATTAATGCATAGAATTCCTTACGACAGCAGCAAATGTCTCGTTGGTTATCTTCCGGATTTCCCTCCGAAATGCACATTTTAAATAGATGTTAAGTCTTAAAGTTAAAATCGATGTTAAAGATTATAGTTAATGTGTAATATCCCTCTGATAACAGATATAACTTTCCAAGGAAATTATTCCAAGAAATCCAATGAATTGTCTTATTAAAGTTTATTAATGAGGACTTTTATGTAGTCAACTCATTAAAATCCGAACTATGTTACAAATATTGATTTTTATTTTCTATTGCCAATATTTTTATTGATTACTTATAATACTTTACCTAAAACATTTATACTCAGTTCCTTTAAACTGTTAAAATTGAAATATTTCTATCTCTGAACAAATAATTCTTTTAATTGTTACAGAAATTTTAGGTACAGAATTTTTATAATCAATAAGTTAATAATTTTTTCACTAAAAATATTTTGAAGAACGATAACTCCTGAAGATGGAAAGATAACTCTTGTAGATGGATACATTTTTATTTTACAAGCACAGAAAACAATGTGATATTCTGATTTAATAGGAACGCTTCATTATGTTTTCTAATGTGAATGAGATAGGTATGCAAGTAAAGATTATTTTCATATATACCTCATATTTTTAATTTTATAGTGAGTTAAAAATATTATTGATCTTTCTATTCACCATATCAAATTTTCTTCATATCATGATTACACATAATATTCATTTCTGAAAAAGTAAGCAACGCTTCATACTTCAAACTATCTCCCATTTCAATCTAATGCTATATTGTTGTTGATAAAAATCATTGTTGGGAATTAAAAAAAATTTGGTGAAATTTGGAGCAGATTGATATTTCACCTTAAGAGCGTTTTAATGACTATTGATGTTAATTGCCAACTTAACAACTTAATTGCTAATATGCCCCCGTATGACAAAAGGGATGATCGACTTCAGCTTTTCCACCTCCGACTTCCTCATATTTATTTGGTAACATTCCACTATCACCTCCATACGGTGGTTAATCTCCAAACTGGTTTAGACTGGCAAAAGGATACTTTTTAACTGAGGCAGGCTACTAAATGGTGATGTTACAGGGTTTTCAAATTCTTTTAAGTCAGCAAATTTTATGGTCGTTATAATGACCTTGTTTGGAAAAACGACCTATCGTAGGATCATATTTTGATTGCTATTTTATATCAATAGTTAGGCCAGTGTTTCTATACTAATTACTCTATTTACCTGATCAACTCAGAGCGCTCACGGCGGATGTTACATTTGACAGGGGATGATTACTCCTCCTAGTCACCTGATTCAACCTCTGGTGTCACTAGAGGTCAGTGAATTTTCCCTTTTCAGATTCGTGTTTTTGAAAGGATTCATGCTATTGATCCCTGTTCTTTATCTCCAGTTTTTCATTCTTTATACTTGGAGTTACAGGTGGCTTAAATAAAAACCAGATCTAATTAGTTAAGAAAAAATGATGTTATTGCTTCAAATAACAGCAATATGGTTTTCATAAGAAATAAACCTTTGACACTTACATCGCTTCTTTCCCGCACAATTATTGCGCCATTAATTACCATTTTTCTAAATTGTCCTTGCAAGCTCAAGTTTTCTCTAAAAGTATGCACTTGCAAGAGATTTAAAATTTGAACTGAACTGAAATGTTGGATTGATAAACTAAAAAAAACGTGAAAAATTAATAATCTGTACTCTTTGTTTAAAAAAAAAAGAAAAAAAAACTAAGAGGAATTCAAACATCTGCAATATAAGTATTGAAGGAACAAAATGAACTTTATCACCTGCAAATTTATATTCTCTCTTAATTAACGGCAATATATGCAAATACCTAAAATAACTAGTCGAAAATAGCTGAAAACTAAGAAATGCTAGTCTATAACATATTAAGTGTACTTACATGTAGTGTATAACTATTTTCTGGGGAAATGAAAATTATAAAGATTTTGAAACCTAGTCTATGCAATAATTTTCTAAATTAGATCTTTATGTAAAAATGATCTTTTAATCCATATATCGCTGGTTTGTTACTATGTAAAATATAAAGTTTCTTAATTTTCTCTTTTCTTATCAATATATTGTCTTAGAAAATTTGGTGTTATGACTATTTTATTCATAACACCAAATTTTCTATTTTAATAAAAATTTGTGGGAAGACAATATTTACATTCTACAAATATTTTTCGCGGGATCTACATTTACGAGATTTTTTTCGTTTTGTTTTTATCTGTTAAATCGAACGTTTCCTGCAGGATTCTCTTATGATACGTTGTTAAGAACAATCGATTATTTAATAAAACTTTAAAATGTTATTAATAGTCATTAATGAGGATAAAAAAGTTAATATACATTAAGTGTTAATAATTATTGATTGCTCTTTACATTTTACATGCTTTCATTGAGAGAAAAAGTTAATTGCAACATTCAATTTATAGTAAGTAAGTTAATATATAAATATTTTATCATAGTGACTTGTGTATAGCATAATTTTAAATTCATTAGACAAATAAACATACAACACCCATGCAGTCCATCGGACCTATAAGTCACTTTTAGCAATATAGATATTCATTACATACGTGTGATTTTTTTTGGTCTTATATGCATTATTTTTATCATGAAACTCACAGTTTTACGTGGGAAATGAGTTAATAGATATTTAAATAGAACATTTAAATCATTATTATGTATATTTGAAATTCCAACATTTCTTAGAAAATCATGTGTACAGTTTTTATACAGATTACATTTTAATAGAAAATGAAGTTCAACCTCTACTTTGTGCAAATCATAAAGACTACATATTCTGTCTGGAATTGGTTCTTCTCGATAGCGACCAGTCTTGATACGCAGTGGGAGCACCCCACACCGGAATTGCGCCATTGCAGACCTAGCTGATTTTGGCAAGTCCATCGCTACGTATTGTTTAAGGCCGTATTCTTCCTTAATAGTACGGTACATTCGTAATTTTGCAGATTTTTGAATATCAGATTGCCATTTGGATTGTTGATTTGAAAGTTGTTTCTGAATAAAAATTTGAATATAGTATGCTTACCTATTGTGCTTTAATGCACGATGAAATGCAAAATATGTTTATTCTTGTGATTAATAGATTTGTAGCAGTGTTATTTAACTGTCCATACATCCTTAAATTGCACTCAGATTTAATGCTGTTGAGAGCCGTTACATCTTCGTCAAAGATTTGTAGCAGTGTTATTTAACTGTCCATACATCCTTAAATTGCACTTTAATGCTGTTGAGAGCCGTTACATCTTCGTCAAGTCATGCAAGATTGAAGAAGTTGATGGCTTTAAGTCCCCGCCATGTGCATTACGTAATTTTTTTTCAATCTGCAATTACCTTCTCGCGAAGCTCGATAGCGATTTTCAGGATACTTTTCTTGGAAGATGTACATGTACTACCAATACACACAAGGGTTTTGTGACAAGTTAAATAGATGCATATGATTTTTTTCTAACAAAGACTTGTGATTAAGGGTTTAGTAATAACTGTATGTAATTACTAAGGTTGAAAATAATTTTCAAAATAAATTAAACATGTATATTCTCAAAAAAGGGTGCCAAAGCTTAGGTTTTGAATAGACGGTATATTTTTCACACCATCTTTGCACAAAGTTTCAAGGAAAGTATTCATTGTATAAAAAAGAATTTCTAACTAAGTTCCGTTATTGTAATACTCGTTTAATTAATTCGGACCCAAGGTGTTTACAGCCGAATCCGTTAGAGTACGTTGTTATAAATGGTCTGGAAAAGAAGAAAATATAAGATGATTTTTGACGTGTGTTTACTACTGTTTCCCACTTTCATTTCAATTAAACTTAGTGTATGTATTTTTTAAAGTTTTTCACAAAAATTATTTTTGGCAATTATATGGAAAAATGTATTATATGTTTTTAAACAAACAAATTAATACGGAAAAAAAACTATTACAGAACTGAAATTGTAGTCGTACTAATGGGATTTTTGCTGATTTTCGTTCCAGTTTTGAAACTTGACCCGGAGATAAGTAAGAGATCAAAATTTAAGCTTATTAATTTATACAGCAGAAAATTATGCTTGGTTGTAATATTGTATTCCCAGACTGGATAACAGAAATCTGAATGACCAATTACTGAAAACGGTTCTCATAAGGAAGACCGCATGGATCCCTTATAAGCTAATATTTGCTGCGAATCAATGTATTATGATACTTTAATATTTGTTAATTAATGGAATAATGCTGCATTGTTATTTTAACTAATGGATTAATGCTGCATTGTCATTGTTAAAATAAACTACAAATAATAATCATAACTCACTGTTCTCATGTAGTGGTCGAATTCTCCAAAGTCTATGACACCATCTAAAAATGGTAGAAAAAATGCATAGACAATTAATACAGAAATGGAGACGGTCGTTAAATATTTCATTAACCCTGAATGATCAGATAGTTTCCCTTGATCTGGTTTTAGTGGGTTACAAGGTTGTAAATTCCTTGCAAATAGTGCAGTTTAGATCGACAAAACGCCAGACTTGAATACCTGTATTATCAGCATGTATAGTTACTTTTTATTTTCTGGATGAAAACCAGGATGTCATAGCGTACATTTTAAAACTAAACCAAAGAAAACAGTTTGTACATGTTGACCGTAAAGAAAACGATCAGCGATACAAGCAAAAGAACACAGCAATTATTCAATGGTCTGATGCAGCTGGCAATGCGTAACCTGCTTACACAGTGAATCAGTGATATAAATATAAAACGTACTTGAAACTGGGATTTGTTTTGAACTATATGCACCGATATCATGAATTAGGAGACGAATGAAGTAAGAGGTTTATAATCCAAAGCAACCCTGTAATTCGAGTATTTCTACATATTCTACAATTACGCAACCTTTTACAAAGTAACAACCATAAATTCCAATATCTAACTCTCAAGTCGAGCACCATATGTACCATCTCTATAAAACAAAAACATAAAAAAGGACTCACTTCTGTTTTGGTCAGCTGTTCCAAAAACCGTGACAAGGTCAATCTCAGTGAGAGCGCCATTTTTATTTGAGTCCATCTGATTAAAGTTGTGTTCTTTCTGTGCGTCGGTGTCCCCATAATCCCAGCTCTGTTTAAATTCATTCAGGTCTATGCTAACAGGCAAGTTACCTGGAAAAAAACTTATTTTAGACAAACCCAATTTATTGTTATGATTAAATAATTATGAGAAAAAGGAGAGATGTACGAGTATGACTCAGGTGTTGGATAGCTATTTTGGGGATGTACCTTTATAATTCAAGGAGATCTCTTGAATGAATATGGTGAATTATTATCCAGTAAATCAAACTAAGGCATTTTTTTGTAAATTTTACTCTGATTTGACTTGTTTTATCCTCTACTTTAAGAACATAGCTCATTGAAAACGTATTGCTATACATTAGACTAGCCTGATTTTTTTATGCCTACAGCATCGCGATTACTGTTGTATACATGTAAGCATAGAGACAAAAAGTCATCAAGAGAAACAAGAAGCAAACATATAGAAATCGCGATATCCTTAATAGTACACAACTAATAAATACTTTTAGTAAATTAATGTTCTTGGACGACTTTCAAGATCGACGTTGATTTATAAGGTGATGGCATAAATAAACTAAATCTATCAATGACATATTCTATATTGTCTTTTATATTATTGAAGCACAAATCAATGTATAAATTTTTCAAAATATTTGCTTAATTTCTACAATTTTTTTTTTGTTTTACCAGGATTATTCAGGTCATATGGAACAAAAAATGCCGAGATTTCGGTCGTAGAAATGAAGAAGTCTTTGTCAGCATCCATGTCATGGAAAATCTGGCCGATCTTGGTCTCCAAATTAAAAGGAATGGGATGGTGTCCGTTTCCATGCTGACTGATGCTATTTACAAAAAAATAATAATAGATATATAAAAAATAAATAAGATAAAAAAAAAAAAAAGAATTGAGAGTTTTATCGAAAAAGACAACTCGTCTTAAAGCCGTGTGCACATCTTGATCACAGGTACTTGACGCTTTAATTATTTCGCTTTATGTATTATAAATCAAACTATTATTATATAATAACAGTATGGAAATTTTTTATCAATAAAGAGAAATATTCAAACTTCAAGTCCTTGTGATCTTGGTGTATAACGAACAACAATCTACTGATTCACTTAGCATATTAAACATACATGTATGTCAAATGCCTTACTTTCTTGTGATTATTTTTGTAAAACAAAAAATTAAACATATGTACTGTGATTTAAATTTTGCAAGTACTCTTTGACGTTGTATATATATATATATATTTTCTTGCCTTGAACTATATTTGCTGAAGTAATTAAATACCAATTTTCTTAAATACAAAATATCGTTTGCTATTTGTTGTGAAATTCTGGCTTGCCAGGTTCCCAACAATGGGCAAAACAGTTTTACATTAAAGACAACTGGCAACAGAAGAAGCTAAAAGTGTTTTCTGCGACATAAAAGTTTTATTTCACAATAGTAATAGTAATTGAAACGTAATTTATGACACATTGTTTCCTTATTCCAAACTATTTTTTTTTAATTTGTTTTATATTTTTAAAGTCATTGAATGGGCCTTACAAGCACATGAGGGTGAATTAAAAAAAAAATATGACCAAACGCATATTTATCAACCCACACTAAAAATACAGGCAATGAAAATAGATTTCTATGTCTCAGCATATGTCTCTAGATAGTGTCTAAATACCTGCCAAATATCTCGTTGATAAAAGTTATGCCAAAATGATGCTAAAATTGTCAGGAGTGCAGCACCTTTTTGTGACATTTTGAAATTTCAATATTTTTTGGAGATCTGTGAAATAAAAAATAATGCTTCATGTTGAAAATAAAGACTTTCCTGATAATATTCAAAGTATTGAGCTTTAAATGTGGACTGTAGTAACTTTTGTTTAATCAGGTTGTGGTCATGGCTGATGTTTAAAAAAATGTTATACCATGTCAGGAGTGCAACAGAAAAAATGTAGTGTTGCCAAAAAAACATCAATTGTAAAGTTCTGATAGAAAATTAAGACAAAAAAGAATTTTGGAAGTGTGAAATAATAACTGATATACATTTTAAAACTTAAAAATGTTATATAAATCACAAGCAGCATTAATGAGAGTCAAAAATATGTGCATACCCCAAAATGTCAGGAGTGCAACATTGGACATTTTGCTCCCAAGCATGAAAAAACTATTATCATTATATGATTTTCTTATTTTTATTTTGGAAAATAGAGACACAAAGAACATTTTTACCAAATAGATTTATCAATTACAGGATCTGTCTGTGCTTCAGATCCATATTTCTATAGTCAGGAGTGCAACACATTCTTTTAAAGATTCAAGTTGTGTGACGAAAAGACTTCTATTCATGCTTAGAAGTATTAATTAATTAATTAATTAATGATCTTTTTGTATAATTTAATGCTAAATTATTGACAGTTTTATTATTAAAATCCTTCCTTTTTCAATTTTATCAATTCAGATGTGTTTTTTTCTTTTTTGTGATTTTTTTTTAATGAACATTAAAAATAAACACCCTAAAACATTGTCATAAAATTCGAATAATTCCTCCTCAACTTCACTGAAACAACAGAACAAGTTCTTATGTAATTTTCACTTCACAATTCTACTTTAAAGGTCCCAATGCTTTTGGTCAGGAGTGCAACAAATATGTTAGAATTATAAATCATCCAATAAGAATAAAAAGAAAGAAAAAATGATGAGTAGAATTTTTCTGGTGGGTTACTGTGTTTGTCTTCTAAAGGAAAATATGCTTTAAAATATATTTTATCTTCTAAATATACATTTAAGCTAGTTTTTTGGCATAAAAGATGGTATAATTCCAGATAAAATGCGAATTTTAAATACTTTCATCTGTTTTAATTATGAAGTATTGGACTATAAGTATTGCACAATTTCATTACCACTTGATGTTGCCAACACTTTATGAATTTTTGTGTTCTGTGGTTTTAATTTTAAACTTTACTGCAGTCAGGAGTGCAACAAAACTGCTTCATAATTACCGATGCTTTTTAACTATCTTTACTAAAAATTAAGTTGAAAAAAATGCTTGATACTATTTGATGTTCAAAACACTATGTCTATCAACAAATTACAGAAATTTTACAGTCAATTCAGCGAATAGTTTTCATCATTTCACATATATTTTTAATACAATTTATATATATTACACTTTGCAAATAATCATGTTTTAAGGTCTTCAAAATATGAAAAACCTGCTGTAAACGATGAAAAATATCAACACGACAAATTGATTTACAAAGTAAGAGTGGGTTATTGTGTGTCATAATTTTTAAAACAATGTTAAATAAAATACATATCAGATGTTAGGAGTGCAACACAATAATGTAACATAGGGTCACTTCAAAATCTAGTATTTTTCGTAAGAGAACTCGTATATAACAATTCTTTTTTGGCTTAGATTTAAAGAATTAACTTGAACGGACAAGAAAGTGAATTTTGGGGAATTTTATTGCTTCATATTTTTTTCATATTAAAACTTTTCAAACCAGAATTGAAAAAATAATGTAAAATAACAATCAAAAAGCCAATTTTTTGTCACATGTGCAAGAGAAGATATTCATTCAAGGTCTAGATTTAATTATTTATACCCCTTTTACCATTTTAAAGCATAAAAAACTATAATTTCTTGTGATTATGTACTTTAGAAAGTCTTTTAAGGTGTAATGATATTTTCTTTTTTCAAAAGAAATTTTACTAATAAAAATTCTGAAACTTTTTAATCCAATTATCTGTTCTATTGCCACTTCAGGATTTTAAACTAGAATGCATTTGCAATATGATGATATAAGTGAAAAATATGTTATAAGTAGTTGAATTTTGCCAAAAAAATTCAGTTTGGTGGTCATTTTTTTTTTAATTCACCCATAAAGTTTAAAAGAATTTTAAATTTACAGAACTCGCAGGATGCTCTGTTTTACACAGATACACTATAACAATATACAATGAACAATCTTTTTTAATCAGTTTCACAAGAAAAAATACACATAGTTGTATGATACAATGTTTCGTAAACTACAGTGAACAAACAAAAAATATAGTTTTATCTTGTTACCGAGAGATCTACTTTTAAAAGTTAACAAAAGTTGTTGTAGATTTACAACTCTCAAGTAAAGCCCAATTGTACATTTGTAATCATAACTACCAACATGATCAGTAAAAAATACAGCATATATAGTTGGTATTGAACATAGTAATCAAAGTTTTAAGATGGAAACTTTGGTTTGTGCTTAGGAACTTTGATAGCAAATCTAAATACATGTACATGTTTCCTGTGCAAAAAACTTTAAGCTTCTTTTTGTTGGTGATGTTGTAGTTTTTTTCTTTTTGTTTTTGTCTTCTGCTACGCTTTGCAAACGACCACAGCGTTGGGGAAACCCGGAGCTTTTGCATTATCACGCGATTATATAACATGTTTTTACATTGTTCGACTCATTTACTATCTGATATTTTTTAATTTACTTTATGGAATTTGCGTCAGTTGGGTTGCAAATTTGACAATTTTGTTTCAATTTTATTCCATACATATGTTTTGACATGTGTCGACCAAAAAACTATGAAAAGAGGGAAGATGGAAAATTAAGAAAGAAATCAAACTTAGACTTGCCTTGCGGCACCAACAAACGAAATAAGGGCAAAAAATGCAATCATAGTTGGAAATCTGCAAAGAAAAAAAAATCAAATTATTTCAGACCAACAAATTGGCACGATTGCCGCTCCCTCTATGATCCTAACTTCCTTTGTGAAATACAAATTAAATGTATATATCAAACAATGTTTATTCTGCTTTCGAATACAGAAAAAAATCAAGCCATACCTTATGTCTCCTATCACTATTTAATGACAAGATAAGGGGCTGAATAACCCAGATAAATTGATAAAAAGAGTGCCTCCAGTTCAGAATGATAAATGAAAGTAATAGATAATAATTGTTTCCATTTGATTTACTGAAACAAATGTTAGAAAAAGAGGACATGTAAATAAAATGTGCAAATAATGGCATCCTAAATAATCGTTCACCTTTATCATGTAAAGGAATTAGCGCTCCTCATGTTCTATTTTCAAAAATCCCATATATACTAAAATTAGAATGGTGAAAAGTAATGGGGTCCCTCCTGGTCACTGTGTAGAAATTCATTACTTTAAAACATTAATTTCTTGTGTATGAGAGAAATGAATATTTTTTTTATATTTGAAAACAAAATGTTTCCCGACGCAATTTCGACTGAGAGTTCAGTAAATCGTATTGGAATGCCATCTTTATTAAAAAAAAAAGAAAAAAAAGACAACTCGTGCGCATTCACATTGGGTTTCTGTAACATTGCATTAGAATTAAATTATTTATAAGTGTTCCAATAATTTTGATGTTGGACCAAGAGCTGGTCCAATATGGCTCCACTCAACATCTGATATATTGGACTTTTTACACGAAGTATTTGTTCAGTACAATATTTAAAGGGGTATAACAGATATCATGAATGATGTTCTCAAAGTTTATCATGAAAACTCAATAACACAGGTTCTTGTACACTAGTGCATATGCACTTCTAGGTCAATATAGTCGTGATCCTAATTTTGATAAGCCCTGATCTTAAATAAAGTGGTCAATGTGAATCTTTAATGGAAAAACTGGTACATGTAATTAACTACTGTTTGGAATCCACAAAAATAAAGGCGAATACCGATTAATAAATATTAAATAGACACCTGTAGTTAAAGGATCCAAATAAAACGAACTCTACAGCAACCAAATTGTTTTGTTAAAAATCCCTCCAATTCTACACACAAGTACTCTAAGTCGATATTAACAGGATGCTGGAGTTCCTCATTGACAACATTTTGTAGTCTTCGGAGACCATGTCTTCTAACAAATGTTGGAATTCCTAGAGGCACCATTTGTGCTCCTTTATTATAGCCGACCTGTTTTAAAATTCCTATGAAGCAGAATTTACTCAAAAACTTCTACGAGAGAAGAAAACAGTTGCTCTGGCTTTCAACTCGACATTAAGATATACAAGACGCTTTATCAATTAACAAAAGTTACTTCCATTCATACTTCAACTCGATATATCCCAGTGAACTTGAAATAAAAGACACCGCAGAGTCTGCCACAATTGCTTGGATTATAGACGATAAGGGCCAACTAACAACTAAATTTCCATCGCCAACTTAAATTCCCTAATATTCCGCCATCACCTGCATATAGTGTTTACGTCTCCAAAATTATTAGATACTCAAGAGCATGCTCTGATTTTGACACGATGCAGGCTTCTGACAGATAAGTTAATGTTACAGGGATTTCAACAACCTCGTTTAAAGTCAGCATTTCGTAAAATCTATGGACGTTATAATGACCATGTTAGCTAATATAACCTATCATTGGGTCGTATTTTGGCTGACGTGTTTCATACCAATTGTTAGGCCTTTGTTTTTATGCTAAAGTTGACTAGGGAATGATCCGTCTACCTGATCAATAAATACATAGGGTTCACGGCGGGTGTGACCGGTCAACAGGGAATGCCTACTCCTCCTAGGCACTTGATCCCACCTCTGAAATTTCCAGGGGTTCGCGACCGTGTTTTATGTCCTGTACAAAGATTTGTATTGCTTGTAGGTTTTTTTTTTTTATCTTCATGTTTTTTTTTAAATCCAAAAATCTGCTAAGTTGACCTTAAATGCAACTTTACCGTTTCTTTGTGCCTTACCATTATTATAACGACGCAAGACATTTGCTCAAACCACTACGCAATGCGGGCGACAAAATCGTGGAGGTAATCGGATTTAGTGAAGTTGTTGAAAATTTCCCACCGTTTTTGTGAATCAGTACCTGTACTTATTAAGTTACTGAACTAGACACTCTTGCTTGGCAAACTATGTGAATGAAATATGAGGTAACGAACAGTATTCAATCTCCAAAGTCCAATGAAACGATACAAATTCGGAGCAGAGCAAACACGAACCTCAAAATTTAGAGGTTGGATCAGATGCCATGGAGGAGTGAACATCCCCTGCCGACCGGTCACACCCGCCGTGTGCTCCTTGTCATAATCGGAAAAAATTACAGTGGCGGATCGAGGAATTTCATAACGGGGGGGGGGGGGGGCGCAGTAGTATCATTTTATCAATTTATGTACTAAACTGGACTAAACCGAAGGTAAACGCTTGTTATACAAACAAAATTTCAAAAAAAAATAATAATTCAAACGGGGGGGGGGGGGGGGGCACACCCGACGCTGGATCCGCCTCTGCCTTATAAAGCGATTCTATTTATTTTTATCTAAGAAAAAAAGTCGCTTAGGTTATAATAAGTTCCCTATAACCGAGATTTCCGTATAAGCAAGTTCTTTAAAATCGAGTTTTACTGTATTTTCAATTCAACTCATTTATTGACATCATCATACATTGGCATATAATCATGAATACAGCAAACAAAACTTGACATACATGTACCTACTGCAGTCATATGAGTGCATATCAGTTATTTTAAAGTATTTCTTTTCTGATACCAAAGCTCTTCTTTTTTTTTTTAGAAAGTTACAAAATGTTTTTCCATTTCAATAAACTAGTTTGCAAGAATGACATACACGATTTTCTGTAGGTAAACAAGAGGCCTGTGTATCTCCCCATTTCAATATGTAGTACAGAGGAACTAATTCGTAGTTTTTTTTCCAATTACATCAATTATCATATAGGTGACTAGCAAAGGGAAATGACTTCTCTCAGTCGGATAAAAATAGAGCCCTGTCCAGCACTAGAACAGTTGAACAAGTGGTCCAGAATTTCAAAAATCTGGTAAAAATGCAGTCCGTTTGCCCCTTAGATGGTCAGAAGCAGAGAAGAATTTCAAGAAATAATGCATTTTCAGCATACGTGTATAATCAATAGAGCCCCCCCCCCTTGAACCCCACACCGTGGGACCACACATTTCACAATTTTGGAATAGGCAACCTAGTTTGCTCATCATAACCATGCTCTTAGTTTTCTTTTAAATTCCCAGGAGCAGAGAAGGAGATTATAATAGAATTTATGCATTTTCACTATATGTCATTATAGCCCTGTCGTAACTCCAGAACCCTGACTCTGGGGCCATGAATTTCACAATTTTGGTTGAGGGCTCCATGCTTAATTATCACGATCACACCAAGAGTTCGACTGCTTGATGTTCAGGAGTAAAGAGGTAATTATTTACAGATAACACAAATTTTGAATGGTTTAAATCCCAACCCAGGTCCCGGGGCCGGGGACATCTTTCGCTTGCTTCCATCTCTGGGATACCGGTAATTGATGATATAGGTGATCACGCCCTAATATTTCAAAACGGTCCAATATCTCAGCGACAGGTCCATTATCTCACTCATCGGTCCAAAATCGATTTTTTTTTTTTGACCACTCAGAAAAACATAAGAAATGATAATTTTTTTTAAAGTTTAGATTTATATATGAACAATTTTAAAGGTATAACAAATTAAAGTGCTGAATTCCGTTATCATTATCATTTCTCTTCCAGATAAGCAATAAATAAGTCATTCATAAAGATTAACCTTCAAGAACTCAACATTTTCATCACATATTAATCTAGATTAATATATCGTGATAAAAGTAAATAAATAAAAAATGTTCATATTTAATGAATATTTATTATATCAACACATACATGTTTTAAAAAAGAAAACTCTCAGGACATACATCTGGCTGAATCATACAGGTAAGACTAGGGAGTCAGCTATCTGTCCTTTCATCAGAATTTAAATACAAATGGTAAAAAAGACTAGATACACTTTTTTGTAGGATCTTGTTGATTAAGATGTTGAAATGTTCAAATTTAAAAAAAAAAATGTTTTTCCTGAGATTAATCCCTGTGATTTACATACTATCATGGAAAAAAAAAGTACCAACATGAGATGTATTAAGTGTATTTGACTACAAGAAATCATGATTCATTCATAATTTGATGATGTCAGTTTTGGATGTATGTCCTTTTTGTATCTCTGATTTATGAATGCTATTTTCAGTACATGATTATGTATGACTTTTTTCTTTTGCCTATTTGTAATAAATATAAAACACTGAAAAGCACAAAACATTTAAATATGCACTATAATAATGCAGGGTGACATGTACGGTACATGTAATATACACATGCTATAAAAATCTCATCCTGATTGGATGGCATTTACAATGATATTTTGACATATCAATGAGGCATTTCTCAATACATTTACTTATTTTTGACAATGATATTAAACACAGACAAACTTAAATATAAATCTTAATTCAAATATCTTTAATTAACAGTTTCCTAAAATTTTACTCACATATTGCATTTGTAGGTACTGAAACCTGGTTAAGGGGCTTACTTAAATTTTTGTACATGTAAATTCATCTCTCAAATTCTTGAATATGAATCAAATTCAAGTACAATTTAAAAACATGAATATGAAATTACATTTTTCTAGAGACAATATAGAATAAAAAAAATAAATAGATATAAAATTTTCATTCTGCTTTAAGCACCTAGAACAAATTATGAGGAAATACATGTAAAGAATAAGTAAGCAATTTTAATTGTAAATTATTGTTCTTTCCATGCATAATATATATTTTTAATAACATACAGCACACATATCAGGCTATCATTAAAAATACTTTTGTTTGATGTACTCCAACTTATATTTTTTAAGGTGGGTAGATAGGTAGGTATTCTTCTTTTTTTGGCAGTATCTAATAAATTGATAATTGTCATAAAAATCAGACACTTGAAAATTTATTGATGTTTTCATTATACACTGGACAGTATAAAACTTCATTTTAAAATGAAACAATGTCTATTTCCCTGGAAACTTGAAAAAAAATTAAAACTGAATATTTGAAATGCTGAAAAAATAATTGGTTAGGGATGATTTTGACAGGTCGGTCAGAGCACATCAAACAAATCATTTTTTATTCTTGGCTTCAATGTTTAGATTTTAATAATAAAAAAATGTAATCAATCAAAATATATTTGTAATGTGGAATCTAAGATCGCAAAAGCAAATACATTATGTCAGTTCCTGGTTCAGCTGTTTATCAAGCACTGTTGGTTTCAATTCTCATGTACCGAGATCTGATGTATCAGTATCTAAACATTTACCTGAGTTAAAAAATCTGAACACATTAATCTAAAATAATAATATCATCATCTTCAACATTTTTAGGAACTTTCACTGCTGTTTTTTGGGAAACATATTTTCTTTCTCCTTCTCCTAGAAGAGATAATCTACTGCTTTGTCCTGAACTCTTCCCTTTTTCAGAGCTATTCATACAATGCCAGAGACCGCCCTCTGATACAGAACTCCCTTGTGCTGAACTAAATGAAGTCTGAACTGGTTTTGTGTGAGGACCATGTTTTGACATGATCACTGGTTCCAAGTCCTCAGCAGAACTGTTGTCACTATCATCCAGCAGAACAGGTGATGTTCCCATCATATGGTGCCACCCAGCACCTTTTGACTGCGTAGGTCTAGGATTGACAATTTTTTTCCCAGGTTTAGGGTACACAACTTTTTCAATGAATTTGGGTTCCCTTCCACTTAGATTGACAATGTTTTGTCCAGATTTTGGGTAAACGACAACTTCGTCAAGGCCTGATTTGGTTTTACTCTCATTTGTATAAAGACTTTGTTTCCCTCCTTCTGGATTGACCTCCAACAATGTTGCCCCCATTTTATTAAGTGGTATAAACTGTATCTGCCCATCTTTAAATTCCTTCAGTTGATTTTTATCAGTATGCCTCACTAATGAAGAGTCTGAATTCTTGCTATCAACAATTTTTAAATCATTACTTTCACTTCCCTTTCTTCTGTTACTGGTTACTGAACATGACACTCTTGAATCATTGGTCACTGAAAGTGAGGCTTTGTATTGATTGGTTTTTGATGAAAATTTAGAATCTTTAGAAGACACTGTATGTGAAATACCAGAACTGGCCTTAGAAATGTTCTTCACCTGGTAGCCTGGAAATTTTCTCTTGACGAAATTCTTCCCTGTGTACACCTCTGGTTTTATGGTTGATGCGGTCAGAGTTTCGCCCTTGTCAATACTGGACTTTATAGAATTGAACTGATTCATAATTTCTTGGTGAAGTTCTTGTATGATATTGGGTACTTCTGGCTTTTTCTCTTTAATTTCAACTAAAATGGGACAAAAAAAAAAATCAGAATTAAATTTCATTAAAATTTTACTCTATAAACATATTTCTTCTTCTTAGAAATGAATTACATGAACATCAGTGGAGTAGCTACCATGTATGCTTGCAGGGGTTGAAATTTTCCTGGAAAACCCACTAGCCCAGGGGCTACTGATCAGTAAAAAATTACTAGCCCAAACCTCAAACTAACTAGCCCAAATTTTTTTTATGTTAAATTAAAACATAAGTTAAAGTTTCAAATGTGGTGGTGACAGAAACAAATTAAACTACAATGTAGGTTTCATTCAAAAGAAACCAGTCTACATAGAAAAGCAAAAGTAAACTGACGAGAATTTTTTTTCCGTTCTGCTAGTCCAACGGACCATCATTACATTTAAATAAGCTAGCCCAAGTCTTCAAATGACTAGCCCCGGGTGTCGGGCTACCATATATTTCAACCCCTGGCTTGTATGCCAAAGCATCCATATTTTTAATAACAATAATAACAATAATTCTTTGACAAAAGAGCATATTTCAATAGATTTCCTTTATGAATTCAAAGATAATTATTTAAATTATCTTCATACTGCACATTCTAAGACTCAATCTAACACTCCTAAATATTGTCAATTTCTGCAGTGTTTCGGGGGTTTCTAACACTTAAAGTGCTGGTTGATGGAGATTAATGTGGCCCTACACCACTGCAATCAGAAAATATTCACATTATTTTTGTCAAGTTATGCCACTGAATATGGTTTTTAGAGCAATATGAGCTCAATTTTTTTTTTACTGTTAAATTGTAATTTTACTAATGACAAAACATAAAGGTTTACGATTTTCAGTTATTTATACATGTACTTGGAAGACTACTTGGAGACTTTTACTGCAGCAAAGATACATTATTGTCTCAATGTATTAAGACTGATTTCTTATATGCTATATATTTCATAACACAAAAATTCTTCTGATGAAAAAAAAATTAAATGGTCAATTTTAGACTTATTTTTCATAAAGGTTTAAGTAACAAGCAGAGTTGTTATAAAGCACATTTTTATGGCAAAATACAGTTTTTACAGCAAATTAAAATCTTAAAAACAAAGCTTACATTGTTTTAAGATTATGAGTCATCAAGCATACAATAAATACAAATCTGCACAGAAACTTCATTAATCCAAATCTAAGTAAGATTATAGTACAAAAAATACCAATATAAAAGTGGTTGGGGGGGGGGGGGCTTTTGAATTAATATGACTAGTAATGGCTTTGCTATTCTTATGAAGAAATTTTTATACGAGTATATCCTTTATATTCCTTTGTATAACTATGATCCCCTGTTACACAAACCTGGTTTAGTTCCATATTTGGTATTCTGCTTAGTTCGCTTGTGAGAGAAGTCTAATAAATCTTCTTGTGCAACCATCACATCATCATCATCATCATCAATGTAAACAATGTCATCATCCAGTGGCTTAATAATAACAGGGACAGCTTTCATTGTATCTACCAGTTCCTTTTCCTCTTTTACAGCCGCTAACTCCCAAACTTCTGTTAAAAGGTAAATTCAGTGTAAAAAGAGAAAAATCTCACCTTCCTCACCATTAATATTCTCATCAATGATGATTTTTCATAAGAATCTATACTGCGAGGACTCTCACATCCCTTTTTGCTACAGGGACCATGGAAGTTATAATTGGAAAGATTGCCAAAGTCTTGACAAAAATTGGGAAGATCAACATGTGAAAAAAGATTTTAAGAACTCATTCATTTGATTTTTGATATTATGCAATCAACTTGATCAGGAATGCCATTTTGGAAAATAACACGATTCAACTGGGAAAAAGCACTTTTTTGCATTGGGGCAAGGTCAGTTGATCAACAACACCATTTACAGACAATCAAGTGCCTTCACTGCATAAAGATAAAATTATACATGTATTAGAAACCAGAAGTCTCTGATGAGACTGTAGCTCTACTGGTTAGTACTTAAAACAAAGGAAAAGAAAAGTAGCACTTGAACTTGAAACTATGCAACAGCAATAAATGGAATAATGATCCTTGTTTTTTTTTTTTTTTGGCAAGATCCATTGCACTCAGACTAAAACTTTAGGAGAAATAGCAGGGTGTTTGGCAAAGGAACAGTTACTACCAAGTACCTTTGTTTACGTCTTAGGTTTGACGCAGCGTGGCAAGTGAAAATCGAACCTAGGCCTCCTGATCACCAAAACAGATTGAAGATGTCTATTAAATGAACAAAGTGTAGGTTTGTTGCTCATTAAAAGTTTTCTGGATTTTCACATTTATGCCCAGGTTAAATTTAACAACTTCTGTTTTGATCTATAATGGCCTTGGGATTCATGTTTTGAACAAATTACCAACAGTTAACATAAACTTTTTCATAGCTAGTTTACTTATTCTAAAAAATTAATATTGCGCATCCTTTTTATAAATCATAAATATCTGGACCTAGGGTTGCACAACTCTGTCCTCCCCCCCCCCCCCCCCCATTTTGCTGAAAGTATTGAGAATACCATTAAAAACATACTACTATATGCTTGTGTCCCCATAATAATAATCTAATGCCCCCCTTTTTTTACTTGTCAAAAAATTTTGGTTGCCTCCCCCCCTCCTCCACAACTAAAATTGTTTCCTTCAAGCCTGAGTTTGGGTGAAATTAATTTGAAAAACAAATAATGAAGCCAGCAGTCAGTTCCCCTCCCCTGATATTACCTTTCATGGTCACTTCTGAATATTGCTCTTGGTTGCCTGTCTCTGTATTTTCTTTCTTTATTTCAGGACCTAAGAGAACATTTTCAGCTGTTAAGAAAATGAAAGCTTGCACATAATTTAATCCTAAGACTAATTTTGCTTTTCAAATAATAATTGATTTTGGTTTTACCAAAGGTTTCATTTCAAATATTTTCTATACAACAATAAAAATTTGAGGGTTTAATTTTTCAATAGTACAATGGCATACAAGGTAAAGGTTGACCCGTTTCTCTGCTTTCTTTGCTGATAATGGTACTGTCATGAGTTTCATCTTGAGATTCACCATTGATAACTGCAAAAACAATATAAACATTTTTAGACCTTCCTTACAGTATAAAATTCATTTTAAATATGAGGTCACAAATAAAATTTATGGAGAAAAGTTATTTCAATTTTTTTTAACCACCGTTTCAATTTGTCTATAAAATATGCATTCAGTGCCATAGAATATATTAACTTGAAATATGCCTATAGGACATAAATCCCCCCCCCCCCCCCAACTATACAATTGCTTTGCAAGCCAACAGTTTCCTCAGTTAGATTTAAAGGTAAAATATGATGAAAGAAGTAAAAAAAATTATATTTTCTTCACATAATTGATACCTTGTAATGAATAGAGTTGTTGCCTTCCATTGACAGTATTTAACAATGATTCATCCTATCTATCTATAACATCTTAATGAAAGCTCATTCTCTCTGTCAGTCTACATGTAGCAAATTTTTATAATGATCCCGTAAGAAGATTTTGTTGAAATCCTCTCACAGAGATTTATCTGGGTATGAAGTTTCATGAAATAATCCTTTAAAGAAATCAGCACTTTTAAAGTTGCATAATGAGTCAAAACCATGTGTTTCTTTTAAGAAAATTGTATCAAAAACAAAAGATTTCTGTGAAATATAAATATAGCAAAGTTTTGACAACTCAGCTGCACGGTAAAGCAAGAAAAAAACTGCAAAATATAAGTGCCGGAAAAACAAATGTTGTATCTATCGCTTTGTTTTTATTGTCAATGTGAACAATGTCAAGGTCAAGCGTCCTTTATTTTTAGCGTGAAAGTTGTAAACAACATTGAACTGGGGCAAGCAGAAGTGAGGAATAAGTTATGATCATCTTTTTTGAAGATTGTATCAAAATTCTCAGTCATCCGACATTTATATCTATGAAATTGACACCATGGTAAATTCTTCAACTTTTCAGCATATGCGTACAATAAAGAGGAAGAAGTGAAGCAATATTTTTGTGATGGGTTATACAAAGATTTTTTTTACTTTTATTTTTCTCCATTAAATTAGATTTTTTAGGTTCTGAAACCTGTAATTTTCTGAAACCTAATATCTTCAAGAACTGAACAAAATTTGCATGTATCATGCAAAAATTCTACTGTTGTCAATTTTCCCGATTGTCCCTCACAATGTCACTTTCAGTAAGCTAGATCAAAATGAGGAGAAAATGAAGGTCAAGGTCATAGGGTCAGAAAATTATGACACAGGTTCAACTGCTCTCACCAATACATAAGGAATTTGATGAAAATATCATAAAAGTCAAGTTTTAGGTCATAGGGAAGCTCAATGATAGGGAAGATTCGATAAAAAAAAAACCCATCACAGTTGAATTTCTCTGACCAATGTATCTTGGTTTGAAGGTCAATGAAAATATCTTTCTAAAAAAATGAAATGAAGTTCAAGATTATAGAGAAGGTAAAGCTCAAAGGGGAGGTTAAGTTAAAAGATTATCACAAAGCTGAATTGATCTTAACAGTACATGACTCTTTGCTGGTATATTCACATTTATGACAACATATTTAAATAACCAGAATTTTGTTTTGTCTATAAGGACCATTAGACGTAAATTTAAAATCTTATGCTTGTATCTCAATTTGAAATGAGTTTTCAAGAAGTTTTATGATAAGGCAATTTAAAATCAGAAATTATGGAAGCATTTGAACCCTATAATAGATGCAGGGAAAGAGGACATGACAAAGTGATCTCTAAGTGTCAGCTTTGCTAAGTAGATGACACAAAAAATGATCACATAACAGTTCTTACTTTGGTCCATTTCTGGGACATCTACTTCTTCATTGTCCTCTTCCTCATCTCCCTGTGTATCTTCCTCCTCCTCATCTTCATCATCCTCACCTTCATCTCTTCTTTCCTGTTTCTGTACGTATTTCTCTAACACCTCGTTCAGGCGACTCTTTGAAATTTTCTTGTTTTCTTCCAGCTTTAGTTGTAGAGCTTTGTCATCATAGGCTGGATCATCTTCATTTCTGAACATTAATTGTATTAAAATTGTATTCATACAGTGTACATATACACTACATACAAAATTTACCTTGCATTTCATACTGAGCCAAAAAAAAAAAAAAAAAAGAAAGAAAAAGAAAAAATACTTAATATGTCTACTTTACTAAAGGAATATAAATAAAATATATACAAATATGGTGTACATTCAATGGGAAAAAAATTTAGTGCAATTGAATTTCGTTATCTCAAATACCATAGATTACATGTATGTCAAAGTGATTGGGAAGTCCTAACCACGTATTTCTTAAGTATTTTACCCTCGATATCTCAAACCCTCGGATATCTTGAAGTTTTTCCTCACTCACATCAAGCTCCAGATAACAAGTTTGACTGTATATATAAATTTGATGAGAAATAATAAAATTTTGTGTAAATTTATGTATATACCTCCAAATGACAAAGCTATAACAAAGCCATACCTGACCACTGTCTTTTCTGGGGGAAGGTGTCCAAGAAATGTGTATTTGAAATCTTTCTCTCTTCTCTTCTGGAGTTGATCCCCCACGTCAGCAAATGCCTCCCTGGCTAATCGGTCAATAGCTGATGTCCTAGAAAAATTCAATTAATCACTATACTCATGTACCTTTATTGAGCTTGGTATGCTTTAATCAAAATGAAACATTTAGTAATCAAGTAAATTTTCTTTCTGCCTTTTAACCCTGATCATAAATTAATTCTATCTTTTATATCCTATTTCATCTGCAAAATTATGTTACCATTAGAAATTTAATTTAATTATTGAGACACATTAGTACAGCACTCTGAAATAGAGTATAATTAAGAAAAAATCATACATTCATATCACATTTTTGCACCATACAGATACAGCCTACTTCACTTACATTAAAGTAGCGTATTTTCAAACATTGGTTATTTTGAAGTAAAACTAAATCCCCAGTCTCAGTTTCTTATTATCTTTGCAATAAAATATCAGTTATATTGAAATCACTTATATTGAGTTACTGCTTATTTTGAAGTAAATTATCAGTCTGTTGAGCTGATAATGATTTGTTTTTATTATATACTGAAGTCCTCCTGGCCATGTCATTGTCATGGTTGGTGACATTATAATTTACAGGTAGATGATAAGGTGTCAGAAGATATATTTTGACCAAATATGTTTTCACTACATATTATTGTAAGAATTACTGAGATGTATCTTGTTCTCTCAGACCACATATTGACGGTGCTTTTGAACAGAGCTGTTTGAACATATGCTTGTGAAAATGGGTAAATTACAAAAAAACTTCATTTGTCTTTAAGTAACTAAAATGAATTAATGTCTGCCTAAGAAAAAAATCTGAAATTAAATTTAAATCCAAATTCAATCAGGCACACTCTAGCAATGATATACATGTACAAACCAATAGCGTGTCACAGTTTTTGAAACCCTCAAGTCCATGTGAGTCTGATGACTTCCCCCTAACCAATAAAGATTAAAATCAGGAAATATACCGAGGTTGAAATATGTCGGACTTTTTCAAAAATAATTTTTAATGAAGAAACTATTTCATTTCATTATTGAAGTGTCATATATTTAACTGTGTAATGTTTATTTTGACTCAAATTTGTCTATTTGTTTTAGATCTGGATCAGGATTTTTACTTCATAGACCAATTTTGCTTATTCTGAACTTCGGTTATATTGAAAAATAAGAGGCCCAAGGGCCTTAACGGTCACCTGAGTATAATACAACAATTTAGAAGTTGAATAAACTGATAGATGAAGCTTTGTTGCCCAAAAGCAAGAGAAATAGGATGATCAGTATCAATGAAATAATTACGAGGGGTGATCAAAAAGTTCGCGAACTATCTCTATATTTAGAAAACCACAATTCAGATCGATCAGAATGAAATTTGGCACACATATAGTTATACATATGTTCTATAAATAGCAGATGTTATGTAATGATTTGCTCCATGTTTGTGACGTCACATTGTGAAAATGATGTCAGTTTGTAGGTCACTTGTGACAAAAAACGATTGACTCAGTCGTACTCGAGCAACAGCTGTAAGGTTTAACGTATACCTTGGAAATTCCTTTGCAGTAGAATATGATATTTTGTACAAGGTTTATGAAGACAAAAAACTTACCAGAAGTTCAATCATTAATAGGATTAAATGTTTTAGTGAAGGAAGGGAGATGGTTAAAAATGGTGTTTGTTCTGTTGCCCAGCAAAAGCAAGCGGGGAAAAAGATTTGTCTTTAGTTGAGCAATTTGTTTTGAAAGATCGCCAAGTTACAGTAAGAAAAACAGTTGAATATCTGAGCAATAATACAATGTATAACTAGACACTCATTGCGAGCAACGAGAGGTCTTCCGTCCGAATAACCATCCTTAACTGTGATATTCTTTGCACGTAAAATTACATTTATATCTGCTCATTGTAAAGACACCTAAAAATTTAACATGGGTCTGTAACAAGATTTTTTATTTATTAAAAAAAATAAAAAGAGCACAGAATTCACAAAGAGAAAAACAAAGTTCAACATCATTGATAAAGATGAAAACGTAAATTTCAGCAAAAAATTCAGATATAGTCAGGATTAAACCAAGATCGGCTGCCCGAAAAAAAGTAGGTTCACTTTTTGCATAAAATGGACCTGTAGATATACCAATTTATTGACTAACACTTTATGTTCCATTTTAAACAACAAGATAAAGTAGAGGCTTAGTGTTTTCATTTCCAATTAAAAATTTTCTCCTTATAGTCAAGGTCTTGGAAAACAGGGCTCATGAAATTGCAATGTTCTTGAATTTTAAGGAAAATAAGTATATTTGAGTACTTTCACAGAAGAGAAATAATATGAGCGCACCCTCTGATCTATAGTTCTATCATTTTATAGTTGCATATTTCAGATCAGAGGTTACGCTCTATATTAAATATCGAAAAATAGCTTTAAAAATTGGCTGTTTTGTAGAATTTTTCACGATATGAGGAAAATGACGCTTTTCATGACATCATAATGCATTGGCTAGCCGGAAAATTACGTCATTTTTGATAGATACGCAGTCATCAAAGGTCTATATGATATTTGATGCATTGTCAACTAAAACCAAACAGTTTCAGTTTTTCTGAAATTCACAGGGCCAAAAAGGCCCTAAGTGAACCTTGTTCTTTAATATTGAAACCACTTCACTAGCGCAATGTACCAGCCATCATCGATGTTTACCTTGCACTCATTTCCTGAAGTAACGAGTGTCGGGCAGGTTAATCTTTTTTTCTTATAGTGTAAAATTATAGGATGAAAACTAGCCAGCTAAATTTTGTGCAAGTACTAGTAGATTTACATCGGATTTGTTACTTGAGTTTTAACAATAACTGATAGCAGAGAAAATAATCTGTTACTGATAAAAACTAAAAAAAAAACTATTGTGTTTACTTCCTTTATTCTTTATGCATTCAACTTTCTATTCTATGCAATTCCAAATTCAGACATGTCCGTGTAATCTTTTCTGTACTTCTACACTACTGCATCAGACCATTTGTGAAAGGCGGGTCAAGATACATTATTTCGTGCCAAACGTCACAAGTAAATCTTCACGCCTTTTCTTTGGAATGTATCTAATAAATAAAACATACCGTATACGGGCAAGTAACATAAAGGCAGCGCTACGTTTTCTTACCAGGGATGGGGTAATTGTAATTAGTATTTGTAATTGAGTGTAATTAATTACATTTTCTAATGTAATTGGAAGTAATTTGTATTTGAGTCAGTCTTCAATTACAAGTAATTGAATGTATTTAAATACATTTCCAAAAATGTCATGTATTTTCAATTACTTTTCAATTACATTTCAATTACTTTTTTTAAGTTATAAGTTTAAAAAGGTGTCTTTTCAAGATACACAGTTCAGTATATCTGTGTGGCATGAGCTTGTGTTTGTGCAACAATTAAATGTCTCAGAATGCTTAATTTGTTTATACAGCATGTCACACTGCCAAGGGCAATAGGTAGAGGTCCAATTTTGTCCAGGTGTGAACCCCTCTAATACCCAAGAACAAAAACACTGAATAAAAGTTCACTATAGTAAAAACCTTATTCAGAACCAAACATGAATTCTTTTCATGTCGTTTGAGTGATGCTGTGTTTGAAAATCTGATGATGATTAAAATGAACTCAGAACAGTAAAAACATTTCAGTACATAATGCTTTGTGTATCTCAGAGTGACGGTTATATATGTATTTGTTCTCAAGATTTTTTAAAAATTAATTAAGTAATTGAAATGTATTTAATTACATTTGTCAAAGTAATTGAGAGTAATTAATTACATTTGAAAAAATCAATGTAATTGTAATTGCAAGTAATTGACAAAATTATCAATGTATTTGAAAGTAATTAATTACATTTCAAAGTAATTGACCCCAACCCTGTTTCTTACACATTTTATATTCCTCTTTACCCCCAAAGTAGATTATTCCAATTAGTAACACATTAATGAAAAGACTGGAATGTTTCGCAACAAAACACGTCTCGCCACATGACGCTCAAGGAATCTGATACCTATTATGTTCAGTAACTTGCATCTATAAAGGAATATTGCCCTAAAATCAAAGAAAAATATCATTGAAATTTATTTCTCTCTCATTTGAAATTGCTATATGTTACTCAATCGACATGACAAAGTAACAAATTCTACTTTCAAAATATAATTCGGCAAATCTCCAATTTATGATACAATTGCATAGGTATCTAGCTACATATACATTTGTATCAACATGTGTTCCTCGTTTTGTCATATCACAATTGCATCTATGCACATTAATTGGTGCAAAATTCAACTGCAAACTCTTTTTGAGGGAGTAAAAAGACACGCTGGTATTGTGCCGTCAAACACCGCTGCTCTGACGTCAAACGACATAGCCCCCCCCCCCCCTTAAAGATAAAATCTTATATTTGTGCTCCAAAAAGTGAGAAAAAAATTTGGACATTCTTTGGATTGAATCCGGATCGCCCACGTGAAAATTCAACATGCTAACCATTACGCTATCAAACATCATCGCTTAAAATTGAAAAATGATAAATATTTAGAGTATGTGTTAATCAATTTTTAAACAAAATACATATTTAGCATTCTTGTAAGACTCTTTATTTAGCCTATCAACATCATAAAAAAATAATGAAAAACAAAAAAACTTCAAAAAATTACCCTTTTTAAATCACTTCCTATGACGACCGGAAGTCACGACGACACATGAAATGTTTCGATCACACATCTACAAACCAAATTCTATCATACCGGAAAGTTTCAGACTCCTACCTTTAACAGTTTCTGAGAACATTCATGGACTAGATTTTTAGTGGAAAAAGTGAAAAATCGTAATAATTCCTGACCGGAAGTAACTTTTTCCAAACTTTTTCAAAATTTCAAAATGGCATGAGATAATACATCATTCCTGAAAATTTGGCTGAAAATGATTGAGTAGTTTTTGAGATATCGCGATTTGAAAAGGTCAAAAAAATAAAAATGAAAAATAATAATAATAATAAGAAACAGTAGAATCACTATAGGTCTTCCGTTGAAAACGGAAGACCTAATGATTAAATCCCTAAAATATTGTTTACTTTAGACTTTAAACATAGGAGATATGAAAAAAAGAAGGTGCCCCCACTTTTTCCACATTGGATAAACGACGCTCCCGAGACAGAGGACTCAGGTTTTGAAGGTCACCATGCTAATTCTGGGAAGGGATATCCTTATCCACCCATCCTATTGCTGAGATTTGACCATTTCTGGCAGATGGCCTGTTCTTGTTATAAAAAATTACTTGCATGATAAGAAATATAAGACTCGGAAAATTCTCTTAGCATCCGTGAACAGACTGCTACGAAGCATGTCACATGACCGCCTGGATCACGTGATTCGCGCATGGGCAGAACAATGGCAGATGTGCATTAAAATCAGAAAGGACTACTTGAAAAAATAATGAGCACTGAAACCTCATTTTATTTCTTTGAAGGAAGTAATTAAATTAGTTCGCGAACTTTTTGATCACCCCTCGTAGTCTAGTATTCAGTAATAACTCATACATTAAATTCTAATCTATCCCCCATTTATCACTAGTCGCCCGCGTGGCACAGTGGTTAGAGCGTCGGCTCTAGAGTCCCAAAGTAAGGAGTTGATCCTTACCTCGCCGGTTCGTATCCCACTGTGGGACGTGGAGACCGGTCCTTCGCATGAGACCGTATAAACCGAGGTCCCCTGTTGCAGTAGGTGCTAGCACGAAAAAGATCCCTCACTGCTCAATGGCCGTAAGTGCCGAGTATAGGACAAAATTTGCAGCTCTCCACCATCAGTGGTGGCGTCTCCATATGAGTGAAAAATTCTCGAGAGGGACGTAAAACAACATACAAACAAACAAACATTTATCACTATTGCAATGCAGACAATTAACAAACTATTAATTCTTCTGTACCACTTTTAATCCCTTATTGTGACCTCTCACATTTGCCTCTCTTGGTCTTTGAAGAACATTTAATGAAATAAGTTACTTTTGTCTCATTTTCATTTATCTATAATTTACAAGTCTACCTGATCATTAAAACTATGAAAGTACTTTTTGTATTATATAATATCATTTTTTGCATAATTCTCTTAGTCTATTGACTTTCAAATACATTATTTACAGTGATTTATTAACAAAAGTGAATGGCAAAGGGGAATAACTTCTCTCAGTAGAATACAAATTAATAGAGCACTGGCCAGGACCAGAACACTTGACCAATGGCCCTGATGTTCAAAAATCTGGTAAAAATATCCTTGCTTACTAAAACTTTATTCTGTTTGCCTTTGATTTGCCAAAGAGCAGAGGAGATTTTCAAAGAAATAATGCACTTTCACTACAGATCCCCCCCCCCCCCCATTGGAACACCAAAACCTGAGTCCACAAGTTTTTAAAAAAATTGTAAGAAGCACAATCACAATTGTTCACCATAACTATGCACTTTGTTTATCTGCTCAACACTAAGGGGCAGACAGGATTATTTAACAGAAATAATGCATTTTCACTACATTATCAACCCTGGGGCCATGAATTTCATTATCTTTGAAAAGGCATCATTGCTTTTCATAATCATGCACTTAGTTTGTTTAAATAATATCCAGGAGCAGATCAGAAGATTTTCAAAGAATTAAATAAATGCATTATTTCCCTATATAATCAATAGAGCCCCACCCTGACACCAGAACTCCTGACCCAGTGGCCATGAATTTCACTATTTTGTAAAAGGCATCCTTGTGCATCATAACCATGCACTTGCCAATGGTTTGTTTAAATAATACCCAGGAGCAGAGAAGAAGATTTTCAAAGAATAAATGCATTTTCACTATATAATCAAAAGAGCCCCACCCTAACACCAGAACCCCTGACCCAGGGGCCATGAAATTCACAATTTTGGAAAAGGCATCCTTGTGCATCATAACCATACACTTAGTCTGTTTAAATAATACCCAGGAGCAGATCAGAAGATTTTCAAAGAATTAATGCATTTTCACTATATAATCAATAGAGCTCCGCCCTAACACCAGAACCCCTGACCCAGGGGCCGTGAAATTCACAATTTTAGAAAAGGCACCATTGCTTATCATAACCATGCACTTAGTTTGTTTAAATAATACCCTGGAGAAGAGAAGATTTTCAAAAAAATAATGCACTTTTACTATATAATCTATAAAGCCCTGCCCTAGCACCAGAACCCCTGACTCTGGGGTCATGAATTTCATAATTTTGGTAGAGGGCCCAATGCTTATTACAATCATGCCAACAGTTTGACTGCTTGGTGTCCAGGAATAAAGAAGAAGATTTTTAAAGATTGCAACAATTTTAGTGGTTTTAGCCCCACCCCTCACGCCCCAGGGGGGCAGGGACCATGAAATACACAATTGTTTCCCTTCACCCATAGATGCTATATGTCAAAATTGGTTGAAATTGGTTTAGTGGTTTTGGAGAAGAAGTTGAAAATGTTCAAAAGTTAATGCATGACTACGGACGAAAACAGATAGCAATAGGTCACCTGAATGACTCAGGTGACCTAAAAATATGTTGGTCCCTTGAATTTCAGTATATCCAAAGTAGAGTGTATTACTTCAGGATTAATTACCTCTGACAGTAATTGCATTTAATAATGCAATTAACAGGAAATTTGCCTTTGAAATTATGATTCTGTATCAGTAGGACCTCAAGCAAGAAGCACTCATCTGACTTTTTTAAATTTTATTCAAAATTAGATAAAAATTTACTATAAACCATTCCCAGCCTTACTTTATATGAAGTGACTTGCTTTTATTGACACTGATGATGATCTCCTTGACATCATGATAGTCTGGAAAACATTTCGTCTTGTTTACAAATCTTTCAATTTTCTTGTTTATATCTGGATAGCGAGTACCTATAAAAAAATATATAATTAGTTACTTAATTCTTTTCCCTTTATATCTTAATTTCCTTTCCTGGTTCACCCTCTATGTCATTTTATGTTCATAAATCATATGAACCTCTATGTCGATATTGTTTGGTTTTAGCTTTACATCTGTACGAGGGGTGATCAAAAAGTTCGCGAACTATCTCTATATTTAAAAAACCACAATTCAGATCAAAATGAAATTTGGCACACATACAGTCATACACATGTTCTATAAATAGCAGATGTTAAATAATGTTTTGCTCCGTGTTTGTGACGTCACAATGTGAAAATGACGTCAGTATGTAGGTCATTTGTGACAAAAAATGATTGACTCAGTCGTACTCGAGAAACGAACGGCTGTAAAGTTTAACGTATATCTCGGAAATTCCTTTACAGAAGAATATAATAATTTGTACAAGGTTTATGAAGACAAAAGACTTACCAGAAGTTCAATTATTAATTGGATTGAATGTTTTAATGAAGGCAGGGAGATGGTTAAAAATGATGTTTGTTTTGTTGCCGAGCGAAAGCAAGCCGGTAAAAAGATGTCTCATTAGTTGAGCAGTTTGTTTTGAAAGATCGCCAAGTTACAGTAAGAAAAATAGTTGAATATCTGAGCAATAATATAATAATTAAATCCCTAAATTATTGTTTACTTTAAACTTTAAACATATGAGATATGAAAAAAAGAAGGCGCCCATACTTTTTGCACATTGGATAAACGACGCTCCCGAGACAGAGGACTCAGGTTGTAATGATCATCATGCAAATTCTGGGAAGGAATATCCTTATCCACCCATCCTATTGCCGAGATTTGGCCATTTCTGACAGATGGTCTGTTCTTGTTATAAAAAATTACTTGCATGGTAAGAAATATAAGACTTGAAAAAATCTCTTAGCTTCTGTGAACAGACTGCTACGAAGCATGTCACGTGACCGCCTGGATCACGTGATTCGCGCATGGTCAGAACAATGACAGATGTGCATTAAAATCGGAGAGGACGACTTTAAAAAATAATGAACACTGAAACCTCATTTTATTTCTTTAAGGAAGTAATTCAATTAGTTCGAAAACTTTTTGATCACCCCTCGTATTTTTTCTCTTTGCAAGACATTGGTTCACCTTTTCTGACAGTTACCTTAATACAAGTACTAGATATCTGAAATTCCAGAGAGTCTGTAGTAACCCTGATTTCTTTTTGCTTACCTTCGTATCTGAATTTCCTCTCCACTGGTCGTCCTGTGTCTGTGCTGCTCTCTTTGATCTCACAGAGTTTGTTCCACACCTTGACAAACTTTTTCTGATATTTCTCCTCCATGATGTACGCTGAATCTTCATCATCCAAGTCCACTTCTGTTTCCTTTAACTCCTCAATCTTGTCTCGGATATCCTGAAAATGTAAAGAACTTAAAATTTTCATTCTGTCCCAGTATGCAGATTTCAAAGTTGTATAAATCTCAAAGTGCAATCTCTGGAAGTATTTTAAAAAAAGCTTACTCTTCAAAGTGTTACATACTGAGAAGTTTTCTATATATCTATTCTTAGATCAACCCCAACCCCCCAACTTAAGTTTTTAATTTAGTTTTCACAGATTACCTTCAGCAGTTTTTCTAGTCTTTCAATCTGCCTCTTTGAGCCCTTTTTCTCCTTTTTAGTTGCTCCCTTTGCACTTGTTGATGGTTCATCATCAGAACTTTTTACTTCTGTTTTTTCTTCCTTAGTTTCCTCCTTCAAACTTGAATTCTCCAATTTCTTCTGTGGATTATTTTTGCTTTCTTCCTGTGTGACATTTTTTTGTTCTTCTTCTCTACTTACAGAATCAACTTCTTCTCTACTTACAGAATCAACTTCTTCTCTACTTACAGAATCAACTTCCATTTCATTTTGTTGTTCCTCAACAGAATCCATGGCCTCTAATGCTGCTCCAGAGGTTACTTGTACAATTTTTATTGGGCTTTCTCCAGCATTTTGAAAGAAATCATCAGTAAGCTTTCTTGCAAAGTGTGGTTTTTCACCAACATCTTCATCTGTATCTTGACTACTGCTAATTACAATGTATTTCTCTTGATTTGTCTCTCCACTGTCACAAGAATCTTCTTTACACAAAGTGTCCTTTTCCTGTTGATCTTTCTTTTTGCACTTCAGTGATAAAGATTTTGACTTCACATGTTTATGTAAATCTGTAGGTGATTTTGCTTGATCTTCAATTTTACTTCCAATATAATCTGTATCTTTTTCATCCTTCTTTATTTCTTCTCCTTGCAAAGGATGTTGATCCTCTTCAACCACATCCATTGCACCCACACTGTGTGAATCCACATTGTTTGGAACACTATCCGCCTTTGAACTACTATCAGGTGAGTACACTGCATGCTTTGGTGACACTGGCAAACTTTTCACCTTGCTTACAGTAGTTTTCAACCTTTGGAAAACATCTTTATATTTACTTGGTGTCATTGGAACTTTTCCTTGACTTTTTTCTGTTGGTTCTGTAGTAGTGGAATCTGGATATTTATCAACTGCTGATTCAAATGTGTCATCTTTTTCTCCATCAATAGAAGACAACTCATTAGACTTCGCAGACACCTTCTCAAGTTGTGCTTTTGAATTTTTCTCAGAATCTTTTTCAAAAATAAAGTGTTTTTTATTTGCCAGAGACTGCTCATTATTTTTGACATCTAGTCTTTCCCCATTGTCTAACATGAGGTCAGGTTCATCCAATACAGTGGAATCACATGCAGAATCCTTATCGGTTCCTGAGATATTGTAATTGACCAATGAGCTTCCTGTACTGCCATTTGAATAATCCTCATTTAGCACCACCTCAAAATCTTCCACCTTCTCTAGTAAGACAGTATTCTTGTTGTGAGACTTATCCTCGTCCTCATCCTCCTCTTGCGACACAGTCTCCTTATTGGAAATCTCAACCTCAATATCTTCTTTCTCATTTGACACTTTTTTTCTTCCAAGATGTTCTTTCTTCTCTTTTGACACTGTCACTTTTATGGGATCACTCTGATCTTCTTCGCAGCTAGAACTTTCCAGGGACACTATTTGAATTTCAGGGTCAGAATCACAGTTTTCTTCTACCCTTTCTGCTATATCATCTTGATCCTCCTCACACTTATCTAACTTATCCTCACATTTGTTTGCCAGAGAGGTTCCAGGCTTAGCACATCTTCCTGAAATTTCACCTACATATCCTGATTCAGTAGCAGAGGTGGAAGAAAAACTGTCTTCTTTCCTTTCTTCGTCTTTCTTGATTCTCTTTATTCCATGCTGATCTTCGGCTGGAGGTGTATTTTCTCTTTTCCTTTTCATCTCATTTTCATCTTTTTTATTAGACTTCAGTTCTTTTAAAAAATCTCTTAAATAGAGAAAGATTTCTTTGGGATTACTTTCGATTTGGGCACGAGTGATGTGTAGACTGTTATGAAATTCTGAGGACCGCAAGTATTTTTCACTGCATTCACGATGTCTTTTCTTGATTAATTTGATGAGGGAGGGCTCATTCTTTATGTAACTTTTGCATATCTTCAAAAACTGAAAAGAAAGTGTTAGTTTATATAATAATGAACCTAGATATGATTACTAGTGATTTTAAGAACATTATCAATGTTAAAATATGATGAAAATTTATACTTAATATTATTTCTAGTATTACAGTTCGTTTTCTTCAAACAAATTTAAATTGTACATCTTAATCTGACTTTCCCATTTTATACATAAACTTCTTCTCAGTTCTAGTGGTGTTAGATGCAGCAGTATCGGAGAGATATTAACCATACTCCTGACTGCGGACATACATTCTGATTTTATGTAAATTATCCTCAGATTTTTATATTGTTTATAAGCTAATGCTATATTACAAATACCTTTTTATGATATGCTACAATACTTAAATGCATATGTGAAAAAGTATTAGAAGCAAGTATTAAAATACCTAATTTTTCTTATGAAACTGCCATATTGGATTAAAGGTAAATTTTGTGTAACAATTAATTATCAAGACTAATATTTTTTTTTTTACAAACTATAAATCTTGATAATACAGTTAAATAATATAAAGCTAGTAAGTAGTCTGAGCAACAAAAAATGGTGGATACTTGTCTTGCTTGGTAATGAAGACTGAAATGTTTATGTTCTTATTTCTTTATTCTTATTGTTTACATATATAGACGTATTATTGATAGTGACTACGCGCCCTCATGAAAATCCTCATATGGCTATTGGAATGACAATGAACACTCCGAATTCCAGATACAGATATTGCACACATTTACTTTAAATACTAATGTTGAACAATTCTCATTAAATTATGAATATACTACTTTAAAATTAAATATAAATCAAAAAGATATTTTAGTTACATTATAAGGGATTTTAAACAATTGGAACATGCATTTGCAAGCTTGTGCATTTTTTACTTCCAACAAGTGCCAGTATTGACCAATATAAGTTCAATAACCTTAATATTAATGAAATTTTGCTGATTGTAAATATTATGATATATATTTACTAAAGAGTAAGTTAACTGTTTGTGCGGTTACCTTTTTCTCTTGTAAACATCTAGGAAGAGCCCAAATCATTTTTGATTATTAGTGTATTTAACTTTCAATTGAACTTTTATAGTTTCAATGAGTCAGCTCAATGAATATAAGAAATTAAGAGATGGTCACTGATAGCTATTTTTCAACACTAAATAGGGTTTTATATTAAAAAGAAAAAAAAATGGATACATTACTTCTATATGTATTTCAATGTTTGAACTTTTGTAAAAACCAGTGTATATGCATAATGCAATAATTTTATGAGATGTGCAATCTAAATAATGTTTATTTAACATTATAAGTGTTAGTTAGTTCAAAACAGTCAAGAATGATCTTTTAATGATTGAAATTCCCAACTTTTATACTGAATTTAAACTGCCTGACGAATACTTATTGAAAGTTAATGTTTTGATGCAATACATTCTTAAATATAGATTTGCTTTAATAAATGAATCTATTGATATCTTTATTATATGTCACTGATAATTTTTATAAAACATATATGTGTTTGTTATATGTATGCCTTGTACTATTATTTAGAATACAGGGCCAGATCATATCATCATCACATTTATACACTAGACAAAATTGCTAAACCACCACCAAAGAAATTAATATTTTACTTTTCAAAACTTGTTAATGATGTATTTGATATATAATTATATTAATTAAGTAAAAATTGAGGTATGTAAATGTCTTAACTGATAAATAATTACAATGTTAACTGAAGCGTAACCATTTCATAGAAAAAATGAAAATTGTGCCAATGCATTCACTTTTGGATGGAAAAAATCATTTTTTTTCTTTATGGTTGTGTTCTTTTTCTTTGTACTAATTAAAAAGCTTACAAAAAAAATTCCATTGTATGCAGCATTTGACCCTAGAAGAGCGTGCTCTTTGACCCTAGAAGAGTGTGCTAAAGCAATCAGTAAGGTGTCTGCAGAGGGATTCCTTTGGAGAAATTTGTAAAAAAAATTAAAACAACTAGAACTGTCCAAAAGGGACAAATACCCCCCGCTGGGTTTTTCAGAGAAGGTACCAAATCACTAATGTTTTCTAGATGTGAGAGGTGTTCACAATTTGCTTAAAACATTTAGAGTGAAAATTTAATTACTCATAATATTTTTTTTTTAATGAATGAAACTAAGGTGCAGCCTAATAAAACATCAATACTAGTAATTTTTATTACATTGAAAAAATAGTTTGCAACTATCTGTCATCTTTGTGAGACATGACACTCTGCAAATTGATTGTTGAAAAAAAAATCATAATTAATTATACAAAATCAAATTGATCTTAATACCTTTATATCAAACTCATTTTAAAAATAGAAGGCTGTTTCCAGTAACTATGTGTTTTGACAGACATAAATTACAATTAAGAGACTTAGACAACAGAGATCTTTATTTCTTTCTGCCCAATTCCCAGGAGATATAGATAAGACCTGCTTGATCAGAGATGCCCTAACAGCTTCCCACACTGAACTCATTAATTAATCTATAACTGGATGCATGTCCACTCATTACTCCCAAGGGACAAATGGATTTACACTATCTGCTGTGTAATGTAAAAACTGTTTTTAATACTTTGTGATTTTTTTTTACTTCTAATGAGTAGTTTTAAGCTGTAGTTCACATTTTTGTACAGATGTTCTAGATTCTATGTCTCAAACCTTATACATGAACCCAAAATGATTAAGTCAATAAAAATGAAAAAAAAAACACCTGAAAAATGCAGAAAAATTATCAAATAATGTTGAAAATACCAGGTGAACATCTTCATATGGTAAATAATAAGTGTACAAATTTTCATACAAATCTATGCAATAGTCTCTGGGAACAGATCCCGACAAAACCACATAATAAAAATGAAAAAAAAAACACCTGTAAAATGCAAATAAATTATCCAATCATGATGAAAATACCAGGTGCACACCTTCATATGGCAAAGAATAATTGTACAAATTTTCAGACAAATCCTTGCAACAGTTTCCAAGAAATGGTCCGGACAAAATCTCGTCTACAGACAGACGGACAGACAGACAGACGGACAAGCTGATTCCAATATACCCCCCCTAAACTTCGTTTGCGGGGGGTATAATTAAAAGATTATGCATTCCTCTAATGAAAAGTTATTGCAAATAGATTAACAAACATAAAAATGTTTACTATAGATAGCCACAGCATTAAGTTAGCATTACAAGACAAATTCAAAATTGTTCCACAAAAATGGGGCAACCAGAAGTTGGGTGGACTGGGTATGGACACCAAGGCACTGGATGCCTACTAGGTGATTTGATAGTCAATCTCTGTATATTATTTGATTTTTAACTGGGAGACTGCTTCCGGTGCAACCTCTTGGACCACCATCGGTAGTCACCAACTTCATATTTGTCAAAACCAGTGCGCAGTGCACGGGCAAGAAAGCCATTGAAGGGTGTTGTCATGACACCAAGACATTTGTCAATTCCACTGTATTGGAAAAAATGGCATATTAGACATACTAATACCAATTATGAAATGTTCAATTTACAAACAAGAATAACAAGTGGTGCATCAAAGCAATATGAGCTGCAACTTTGATGTAAGAAATTTTTCTTGCAAAAATTGTAATTAACTATTTCAATGACAGAAAAAAAGGATGTTTATAACCTTCTGTTGTTTATATTTGCGATGGAGGAACTATTTATAAGCTCTGATTTAAGTAAAATTACATTACCGTAAATCTGGAAATTTTTACGTCGATTTATTTTTGCGAATCTGGGTCAAAAGGGTGTTGATTAATTTTTACAATTTACAATTTTGCGAATTATCATTGGCGCTAAAAATAAAAAGCACTTAAACGTTTCATAACAGTTTATAAGTCACGTATGTGCATATAATGAATTATGCATATACATGCAATCTCCTTTCTTTCTTCAGGGTTTCATTATACATGAGAGTAAGTTCTTTATTAACAATCTGTCGTGCTAAGGATTCATTGTTAGATAAAACAACTGGCCTTTCTTTCTTGGAGAAATAATTTAAAAGAGACTGACTGCCTGTCAAACTATCAGACGATACTGAATGTAGTTAAGGCACAGATTATCACGGGTAATTAGCTGGTAGTATAAATATATTTCTGAAAATGACCAGTGCTTACAAACACCTGTTAACTGGGTTAAAAAGAAGACACCAACTGTCAGCAAAATTTTTGTTTACATTTCTTGTTGCTGATTTATTTTTCAGAAAAAATATTTTTGCGAATGCAGTGCTCGTGCAAATTTGCTAAAAATTTATCTACAGTAAAAATTTCCAGATTTACAGTATTGTCGTCCTGTGCAATATTGATTTCTTACATAAAACTATATATTTGATTGTACAGAATCCTTTATTCTGAAACAATTTGATACTTTATTCTGTCTAACTGATCAAAAAGGTTTAAATTACATACAAATTTATCATAGTAACACATTTTAACAGCAAAATAAAATTCTCGAAAATGCAGCTCATATTGCTTTAACAATTTTGTCTAGTATATATGTGTGGTCAAATGTGAGTTGTAACCCTAATAAATTCATGAAATTAAGTCATCTTGTTTGGTATTCTCTGTACTATAACAATAGTTACAGCTCAAATAAATACAATATGTTACAATACCAACTGTAAAGTATCTGTACACCCTAACTGATGATGAATACCAGCCACCAGTTATTTTCCTCAACATTCTGTAATGGTGAATATACACATACTACTGGTCAAAAATGCCATTTACATATTGATAACTTAGTTTTCTAGTGAAGCCAGAATGAGGTTTGTAAAACTGACAATCCCACTTTTTTAACCCAGCCTTGCTTCAGGGGGTAAATATTTGAAGAAATTTTAATACTGAAAATATAATAACGCTTTTTCTGGTCCAAAATAAGAAAAAAGAAGGAGCTCAAGCTACTTACTTCTTTGAATTCATCCATTATGTTTTTCTCTTTCTGACTCTATTAAAGTAAGAATCAAATAATTATGTCAATACTACATAAACGGCATCATTATTAACATCAAAATATTAATTGAAACACTTAATATTACATATTAAGTAGACAAATATGTATTAACATATTACAGTAGAATTATTATTCAAGGGAAAAATAATAATCATTGTATTATACCATAAAATTTCACCCTGTGCTACTTCAGCATAGACATTTACAAAATGATTTTACTTAGGCATCATATCTTCAAAGCTGTTATACCACATTAAATATCACATCACATAAAGAGTACCAATATCTTTTGTTATTATTAATATGATTGGTCTAGAGCAGGTCAAGTGCGGGAGACATTTGGTAGTCTCCCTCACATGCAGGGTGACAACTGGGGTCTTTCCCTTCAAATGACAATAAAAGATCATCAGCAAGATAACCCTGATATAATTCATATATATATATATATATATATATATATATATATATATATATATATATATATATATATATATATATATATATATATATATATATATATATATATATAATTATATGGGATCAGTAAACAATAAATTCAATAATGGTGTTGTCAAAGGTGTCTGTTGACATATTTTGAAAGCAGTGGGTAGGAGAACACAAGAGGTTTTCCTGATATTTTAAACTCTGTTTTATATCAAATTCAGATTCTTCAGTATAATAAAACTAATATGGACTGTTTAGTAGGGATACATCACAAATTATGTGGTCTGACTTGTGTTGTCACTCTTAGGTGCAAGAGCCCTCTGGTGACAACCCTACTCAGACCTCATAATTTGTGATGTCTCCCTCCTAAACAGTCCATAACTGAATATTGTCTTTGGTAGCAATAACTCATATTGTCTTGAAAAAAATCTAGTAAGTTGTGTAGTGTATGATTTTATATGACTATCAATGATTAAAATATTTAATATTAATGTTGTTGACTGAAAGTAGATTTTGTTTCCACACCTTACTGTGCGAGTAATGTTACAATCTATACTTACACAACATTACAGTAACTGATCTTCCACACATATTGGGATATGAACAGCACCTTTTCTATAGATGTGGTATCATGTACCTGTGAAATAATAAAAATTAATATAACAACATCAAAATCTTAATTAAAATACTGTCAAACAGAGTGATTTACCAGGCCAGCAGGATGAGTCATTTAACTGGTAACAGGAAGGTTTGTCCCAATAGTATGCATGCAAGGACTAAGCCAAAGCTATATTTCGATATCTTATATCATTTTCCCATTTTGTTAAGTTTTAGAAATTTGCCTTTTACAGTATATAAAAAGACAGAAGGTAAGAAACAAAATCTTGTAAACACACAAGGTGCCCCGCTTTGAGGGAGATTTTCAATGTTAATACAACATAACCAATAAAATTTATGCAAGATGTAGTTCAGAGAGATGTCGTTTTACAAGCCTCATATAGTCACACCCGGTCAAAATGATTTATTTATCCTAAATTTGTGTTTAAACACCCAATTTCTGTTCACTGCATTGAAACCAGTTTTTATTGTAGGTTTTGGAAAACATCCAAGGAGTTCTGATTAGCTATCCCTGGATTTTTCATTATACTAAATAAATTAAATAAATTAATAAGTTTTTCTGTCTTATAAAAATTCTCATAAGCTGGGGGGTTGGGGGGGGGGGGGTTTCACCATCCATTTGTCAGGAGCCTGTGAACAGGTCCAGGAAAATTACTATATTTAGCTATATAGCTTAATTTACCTATATAGCTTTATTTACCTATATAATATAGCTTTATTTAGCTATTTTAGAATAAGTTTCTGTTTTATGAAAAGCAAACAAAAAGTCGAATGAAAATTATGGCTGATATTTTTTTAAAAAGGTTTGATAAAAACAACCTAGAGCATAGATAGTAAAAACATTGCCTCATTTAAACACTTTTTAACCAAAAAATGCATCTCTATTGTTTGGATAGCTGTCCATTACTGGAAGTGCGATGAGGCATGACTAAGTGTAATTGCCTTGCATTGTGCTGAATTATTACCAATCAATTATCTTGTTGACCAAAACTGCTTTTCTTTGTTAAAGTAGCTGCTTATTCACAGATTAACTGTTATACATAGCCCCAAAACTTTTAGATCTTTGATTGTAATTGCACAAAAGGAGAAACATTATTAAAAGTGGGTTTTTGGTGAATTGTTTTCAGTCCATTTCAAAGTTGAAAACTAATACTGCCTCATTATGCGACTTTTTGTCTGCTTTTCATAAAACAGAAATTTACTCTGAAATAGCTAAATAAAGCTATATTATATAGGTAAATAAAGCTATATAGGTAGATTTAGCTATTTAGCTAAATATAGTGATTTTCCTAGACCTGGTGAAAATGATAGAAAGTAATCATTTTTTGGCCAAAAAATTTTGTTGTATTCTGCATGTATCAAGAAATTTGGTACTAACCATCCTGTGCCGTTCCCGCGTTTAGGCATGAAATGCAAGTAAAGCAAAAAGTAGGTAAAAATAGCTACCTGGAGTAGGTTTAATCACCTAGGTAGCTATAATTAGCTACGTAAGTAGAAAGTCTTTAGACTTGACCTGGCTACATCATGCGGGCCAGTTGACAGGTTGATTTATGAGATTGATCACTGTTCGTTATCTTTACCTTTTAAATGATTCTTAATTCAAAATGTTAAGAACCTTTCTTAATATATCATCTTACTACCTTATTTACAGACAATTTCCAAAATTAGAGGGGGAAAACCCTGAAAACTGAAAAGGCATCAAACAGGAGACCAAACCAGGCTTCACAAGTTTTAGTAAATCGTTCTATTAATTGTCGTTCGAACGATTTACATCACAATTTATATGTAGAAGCTGTTTTTCTAAAGCACTCAAAGTAATGAAGTATGCATCGAAAAAATATTGGAAGTGACTGCTTCAGTTTAATTGTTTTCTTTAAATGGTTTAGAATATCTGGATGATTGAATGCTGGTTATCATATGTACGAGTTATCAAAGAGGAAAAGGCGATTAACCCAAAAGGTCCCCATTATAACAACAAGTGAACAACTTAACAAAGACTATCCCATTAGATAAATATTTTGCACTTCTTTAAGCATGTCAGACAAATTTTAATCACTCTTCATCAGTGACATGCTTCTGTCTTATCTATCCATTTAAAATAATAATTTGCATCGACTGTGATGACATATGGCCAAAGCAAAACAGCCGGCCACTTTATTGCCACAGGCTGCAGAAAATTATATAATTCTAATTAACCTAATTAGGTTTGGAGAAATGATTACCAATACATGATAAGATGACATTCATTTCAAAAGAGGCAGGATATTGGCTCACCATAGGAATGCATAGGAAAAAAAATCGTTAAAAACCTTCTCCTCAGGAACATCTGGGTCAAAAGAGTTCAAACTTAGGTGAAAGCTTAATTTTATAGTATTGTTTCAAGTTTGTACAAATCATGACCCCCGGGTACTTATAGGGTGGAGCCACAATGGATTAACATAGGAATTGATACTTCATCCCCCATCGAAACATTTTTACATCTTTTTGATCATATGATAAAGCCGATTGCATTATATGGCTGTGAAATATGGAGAACCCTTACATCGCATATACAGGAAAAGTACGAACATTTATGGTATTTTTAAAAAGTGGTAGGAAAAAACCATTTATATGATATTTTTAAAGAGTGGTAGGAAAAACCCTTAAATATTTTGTAAATATCGATTGGAAGCTGCGAAAAATGTACAAATATTACAATAATTTCTGAATTGGGAATATACCCTATGTATTTCTCAATTCAAAACATATATATCTTATTATACTGGCATCGGTTGGAATCAAGTCCAGAATCCCCCTGTTACATAATGCATATACAGAAAATACTAACCTTAGTCTAGGCAATGTTAACTGTTGCTACAAAAATGTAATTTATCTCAGTAAGAAAATTAACATTTCATTATCAGAATGTAAAAAAAAAACAAAAAAACCCCCCAAAAAACACACACACAATCTGATTAAAATCAGCTGTTTGGATACGTTTACTACGTACTACACCACAAACTTGTGACGTAATACGTAGTGAACGTTGCCAAACAAACAGCTAATTTTAATCAGATTGAAAAATACAAAAGCACATTAAAAAAAAAAACAAGTTAAAAATATTTGAAAAAAAACAACATTTTCTACAATGTTAAACAATGAAACGTAAAGAAGGACTTAAATCAGGAAAACTTGAAACTACTTATTTTATGTCTAAAGAAAATCTTACAATGACAGGTTCTCCATCATTTGAAATTTTACTGTGTTGCGGACTTTACGTGAAACGCGAACCACTAATATTCGCGGTATTTTCGCGATCAAATTCGCAACTGAACCACTATTCATTATAATTGCAAAAGCATGTACGTGTGTACATACACGGCAACTCTTTTGAATCGCCAATTCGGTACACAAATGGTATGGTCGTACATATTAATAAAAAAATAAATTAATGAAATGGATATTTAAAACAATTATTTTTTTTTCCATATAATAATGTACATACAATGTAATATAAGACAAACAAGCTTTCCATTATGGAAAACTATATGTATATCCAACTCATGAAATAAAAATATCTATATATATAGATTTAGAATAAGTGACCATGAATTAAGAATTGAAAAAGGTAGATATGAATCTGTGAAAAATAATACTGGTCAAAGAATTCCTTTAGAGAGAAACAAAAGTTCTAGATACATATTTGTATACTGGTATATATTGTTAATACAGGTTTATGATCACTTGTCAATTGCAATTTGATAACCCCAACTGCTGCACGTACAGTTACTTGTATGGACTTGTATGAATTATATCATATTATGATATATATGCATGTATATGTGTGTGTGTCTATGTAACCTTTCATTCAGAACTTTCTATCTTATAGTTGTAAAAAGCTTGTATGCCTTCTGGGCCCAAAATTCGAAAATAAAATTATCTTATCTTATAGGGAAAAAAAGACCACTAGGGCCATACTGACTCAGGTGAGCGTTGTGGCTCATGAGCCTCTTGTCTTTTAACATTTGTACATGTAATTTTATTATTTCTCCATTTATCCTATAACTTTTTCATTAATTTCATGAATGATAAGGAAAAATTGTCTAAATATGTTCACAGTATGAATTCTGTGCGTTTCTACTTTCTATGCACAAAAATGTCTTAATATAAATTGTCAATCTACATATCCCTACTTTTTTAAAATTTGTTTCCGTGAATTCTTAGCATTCAATATTGACATCATACTCTCAATATATCGTGTGTTGGGACGTTGAAAAATATCATCAGAACAGAGAAACAAGAAATAAAAACAACAAAAATTACACAGATACGTTCAAAGATTTGCTTCAAATTCGACAAATTAATAAATTAAATCTTCCGTTTTTCTTTTTATTTTCTCGTGACCTTTCCCAAGTATGGAAATAAGGTATCAATAATTAAGGAAAATTCAATTCATCTCAGGAAATTGCCCTTAATTTATTTTAAGTGGTTCCCTCATGTACAAGTATTGAAATGAGGAAAACTCTATGAACTGAACCATATTTAGAAATACGCATTGCCATCAATTTAATAAACTCCACAAAATCTGTATATACTTTAATATGCTGATGATCGTTTTCTTATAGTAATTTGTTGATAATCCATATAGCCTGTGGGGAAAACCTTACAACTGGATCAGCAAATGAACATTGGCTTTGCCAAAGCCAGGTACGAATAATTCCTTTCTTTTAAAGTGTGAACTGATATGCAGCATACAGCAAAGCTTTTTGGCATACACATGCACAAGCATCCTGAAAGTTCAAACATACGGAAAATCTTGGCCAAATTCATGGCTCTATCAACTTTATGGATGTACGGAACCGGTGAGAATCCCTTTCTGGATCTTGTACAAAAAATTCTCAATTGTTCAGCCAATTAGCAGAATTTTTACTGTTATTATACAAACAGTTATATTGATCTTGTATCACCACGAATATCAAACCATTACATATTTCCTGTATTTATAAATATTTTCTAGTTTCGTTTTTAAATAAGGAAGTCAT